TTTTCAAAATTTCCCAAGCTTCTTGAGTTGTTTTCCCCTTGAGGATTCTCATCCATGGAATCCTTCCCAAGCCCTCTCTAAGTTTATTGAAATTAGCTCTCTTGAAGTCCAAGACTCTAGTTTGACTGTGTTCTATTGGTTGTGCTTCTATAATGTTGAATTCTAATATTGCATGATCACTTCCTCCCAGGGTTCCTATGGCTCCAACACCGTCTATCATTTCATCTCTGTTAGTGAGAATTAGATCCAAAATGGCTAATCCCCTAGTTCCATTCTCTACTTTTTGGGAGACAAAGTTGTCTGCTAGGTTTGCCAGGAACCTGTTTGATCTTCCACTTGGTGCGGAGTTTGTCTCCCAGTTGATGTCAGGGTAGTTAAAGTCCCCCATTACTATTGTGATGTGCTTCCTACATACCTTAGTTAGCTGACTAGCAAAAAGTTCATCTATTTCCTCTGTTTGGTTGGGTGGTCTGTAGTATACCCCTATGGCAATCTTGTTGTCCTTCTGGTTGTTCTAATATGCTTTATGATATATGACCTGGTTGTTCTAATATGCTTTATGATATATGACCTATTGCTTGCTATTTATATGTACACTGTGAATTTATGCACCGGAGACAAATTCTTTGTGTGTCCAATCACACTTGGCCAATAAAGAATTCTATTATATTCTATTCCATTTCCATTCCATTCCCTGGGCTGAAGGGTTTTATGATTCCATTATTATGCCATGAGTGTTTTAATTATTGTATTCCCTGGGCAGTTGTTTACTATTTGGTTCTTTTTTCAGTACATTGTGTTTTTAACTTGTCCTATACTTTGCCTTGACTTGTTTGATGACTGGCATTACAAAGCTGATAAATTAATAAAGCCAATGTTCCAACTATAGGTGCAGAGGTATCAGAACTTTAATAGCCTTATGACAAAATGCAATGCATTGTTAACATGACAGATAATAAAGATGTACTAATTATAAACCAAAATATTAATTAACATTAGAAGTAAAATAACATCTGGAACCAAAGGACATTTGGTTTCAATAAACAAAATGAAGCAGAAGACATACAATGCTAGTTGCTAAGCAAAAAATCAGGTAACCATGATAGGCTCACCATGCCATTCCCATTCTGCAACCAAATTACCATGGTCATTAAGCAAAGCATCACGTGATTGTAACTTACAGTTTTACTTTTAAGTTCTCCATTAAATCTGCTTGTTGCAAGCAGGTTGGGAGGCACACAAAAAGCAGGCACATGATTGTGGATATGCAGTGGTCTGAAATGCTTGGATAGATCACATAAAAGATTTTTTTTTATACCATTGTCATCTTGAACAGTTGCTAAATGAGGTAGTCAGTAAGGAAACATGACCTGTATTTAATCCTACAATAAAAATTCAGTATTTATATCAAATACTTCCTTCCAGCAATAAGACAACACTGCACTTGGACATCACAAACTGGAATCAGAAGAGGCAGAGGTATCCATAATCACATTGCTACCATCAGAACAATTGACGAGACAAGGGAGTTGCCTGATTTCCCTTTAATTATTTACCTTATATGCAAAATTGATATTGGGTGTGTGAAATAGAAGAAATAACGATTGGAATTGCCATTTCTGTAGAAATATCCAGTGACAGACTTGTGATACTTTAACTGAAAAATGCTTAACAAAGTTCTTGTTGAAATTGAAAGAAGAAAATGCAAAAACTGATCAGCTGCTTGGTATTTAAAAAAACCAAAAACCAAATCCAAGATCATACTAATAATAGGCAATGCCAACCCAGTGCAAATCTGCAAAGAAGTCACAATAAATCCAGTAAATAAATATTTTTTTTTAAAAAATGTAAATAAATAAATAATAGGTTATTTATGATTGTCATCCTAAGTGACAGATCAACTGCTGATCATAATATGCTTTATTAAGCTTATAAATGAACCCCAATGCAGTATTGAGACATGCCAAGTAATAATTTATAATCATGTTTGATTCTACAGGTTTAATAGCCCTGTTATGTTATCTCATTGGCAATCTCATTGGCACTGTATTTGTATAGCAGAACTTTGCAGTGTGAACCTCTCTCCTGAATAATTAGGGCAATTAATCCTGGAGAAGGACAAATCAATAGTAAAAGAGAGAATCAGGGACATTGATCATCAAAATAATATCACCAGTTCCCCTGAATTCTATTGCCAATGTTAGATAGTTGCAAGCCCTCTCCTGCAGTGTATCTATATAATCTGTTCCTAAGCAAATATAGATGGGTATTTTCCAGAACCTGATGGGAGGATTTCATGGGATTCCTTATTTGCAGACATTTTGCACTTGTGGATCCAGGAAGGTAGAAATTGTCACTCATGTCCTCATATAGTGGTCTTTCTATGATGTCCATAACATGCTCCAAATATAAGGGTCACATAGATTAATTTTGTATTTATTATTTTTATATGCTTACTCCATATTCACATATCAGGTGGCCTAATAACTTTAACAAGTTGTACAACTGTATGCAACTTTTTATTAGATATGTTGTTTTATTGCCTAATATTTTTTCTTTCCCTTTTTATTGCAAAGGCTGGTCAAAGACCATAATAAAGATATTTGATTTGCTTGTAAGTGAAGGATAATGATTTTATAAAGCAAAAATACTGAAAAATTTTAAATTCTGCTTAGTCAATCTTTTTTTAAAATGACAGCTATACAATAACAGTAACAAAAGTACAGCTTGAACATCTTCCAGAGTATATGTTTAGAAGTAAAAGTTACATTTACAGTACAAGAATTTTAAATGTTTCCATGATCTATTTGCAAAGGACAAATTGTTCTGATTATTTAGGGAGCAACTAACAGATCTGTAACTTCAAAATAAAAACTGTTTTTAGTTAGTTGAAACTCACTCTATTAGTTAGGCAGGGACTAAGATAAAAATAAGTCTTAATTTAGCAAAGGCAGTTCCTAATGAAACTGTATCCCAAACTGAGTTTGCTGTAACTCAAAACAAAGCAGAATTGTCTACAAATGCTGATTAGTAACACAAGGCCTTATCTATGAAACACATGAACAATAACGTTTCTGTGATAATCATATGATTGTGAATATATCTTCATGTTTTCTTCTTGATTTCTTTATGTATTATTTTGGCTGCTGTAGAAAGAATAGTTTCAAATTTTGCTAATTTATCAGTGAAATTGTCTGACTTTTCTGTTCTATCTAACTTAGACAAATCTGAAAAATGTTGAAGAATGTAATTTCACTATATTACAAAAATTGTCCAATATGTGCTACCTCACCAGAAAAGGAATTGTTTTTTTCTTAGAGAAAATCAGTTAAATTCCACATTTATTTATTCTGAAACTAAATAGGACATGTGTCTGAAGTTTCTTTTGTAAGCAAAACAGTGTAGGGGTGGTAATTGATAGCTATAGACATGAAATCTACAGTAGTTATATTTGGAATAGATGCTGCCCTACAGTAGTAATATTGTATAAATTTCACATTGCTTCCAGTTTTAGCAAGTTATGTTAAATTAGAGTTTCATTATGTGCTTTTAATAAGCAAATAATAAATCATTCTTTAGATTGTCATGCATATATTTTTGTTTTCTTTGTAAGAATGTAGTTCTCCTTTTAGCAGGCAGCAGTCTCTCTTGATAAACCCCCTGCAATGGGGCCAAGAGATAAGCAAGCTATGAAGTGGAATGCTTTCTCTGCTCAAAATGCAGAAACAGGAATACCATCATCCACCCTCGGTACTTCATTATCATTGCCCAGAATCCTGCTACCAAACTGAGGCAAAAAAGCTATCATGTTCTCCACGGAACTCTTTTCCCAGGAAAAGCTCTTTGCCAGGGCACAGCAAAGCTTAAGAAACCCTGTCATATAGGATTAATGTGGCACAAGGATATTACAATAGTAAAAGTTGAACTTTACTATTGTAGATTCTAGTTTAGGATGTTACCAAAGCATTAAGGTAACAATTGGACTAATAAAGTATTCCTTTCATAAAAGTTCTAGAAGAGTTCTGAGAGTTAATGGCATTCTACTGAGGATCAATTCAACACTGATAACACCTTTCCACAATTACAATTTGTAGCCAAAAAAGAAAGTAATTACTTCCAAATGAGAAAAAAAGTTTTGGATATTATTTGTCTTACTTATTGCAGCAGGAAGTTAATTATAAAGTAGTTGCAATATTGTATTGCAAACTGCATGTCAAAGGAGCAGGGGTAATAATGTTGGTGGAATCTTCCTGAATGGCAGTTTGGGTATTTAGATATTAGCTTCTTCTTTATTATCATATTTCTAACATTTTATATGACATTTGCCCTCTTTAGTTATATGAATTTTATCATATTAATTTTCAGCATTAATAACCATAGTAATCGTAAGAGAAAACATACAGTATCAGATACGTTATTTTGATAAGAGATCCTTCATTATTCCAATCTGTTTTAAAAAAAACTTTGAGAAAATTAATTCTAGGTATTTTTAAACATTAGATTGAGGGAATCGTTGTAAATGTTGTGTTGATATTAATATTGTCCTTCTCCTCTATCCCTTCCTTTGGGACTCCTTATTAGTCAAAGTGCAATTTTTTATATTTTCTAAGTGCAGAGGACAGGATCTCTGCATGTTACTTTACAAAGCAGAATGTCAAATGTTGATTTGCATATAAATGATAATGTAGCAGTTTGTAAATCTTCTCAAAAATACACAGTGGAAAAATACATCCATATTGTTGTCAAAAAAATTCTATATAAATGAATTTATGAGTTGGACTTGATGCGGAGGAGACTTTACCTTTATTGAAAACAGGAAGCTATTACTGTGATTATTTAATAATTGAGACTATATCCACAAATAAATGGTTTACATTTTGTAAGTGATTATCATCCACCATGGTTCTCTTAATTAAGCCTATAGCAAGATGTGTTCACAAGAATTCACAAGAATTTTGTAAGTAAAATAAACTTACATTTCTTCTTCTACCTTTTTTCAGGAGACATGGAATGTGGGTTCGATTACGGAAGGTAGTAACCTGGTTGTTGGGAATATATATAGCGATTCCATTTCTAGTTAAAATTTGTCCAGCTATTCAGGCAAAGCTTGTCTTCCTAAATTTTGGTAAGAATAATGCTTCATTTAATGTTTATTTTATCTTGACTCTATGCTAATATTTTAATTCAAGATTAATAGGTGTTCATATCTTATCAGCCTACTCTTTCTTTAAAGACTGATTTCTGTTTAATTACTTAAAAGTCAATGTCAGTACCTTACAAGAATCTTGGAAATTGCTGCCATCAAGCTTCCTTGGCTATACTAATTTTATTTTTTTTGTTGGTAGAAAATCTAGTATATTGATATTTGATTTGAAGTCGCATTTGACTTTTTTCAATTGTTTCTGCATATATTAAATCTTGTGTCACAGTATTCAGTACAGATTTAAAGCATATTAGATCACAATTTGTCAGTATCTGATTACATTTCATTATTTCTTTGTGAAGTGCTGATGAAGGAGAGGCTTGATACTGTTGCTTGCAATTTTGTTACTGTTGGCATCTGCAGAGAATGTTCTAATACCAGACAGTGAAAAAGTAATTGTTTCCTTTCAGCACTCCTCAAAAATACCATCTTTGCTATGCTTGGTGTGACTGTATGCTAATTATCATGTCTGCATATTATGTAGAATTTGCTGCTGACTTTGTAAATGTTTTATAAAGATAGGATAGAAAACCAGCATTATTCAATGAGCTGAAACTGTGCCCTACAAATTTAATTCTAGGATTTCCTAAATTAGTTTTAAAGATACAATCTATAATTGACTGTTGGAACTAGGACAAACGGTAAAGTGTATTGACAGTTAACAATTATGATTTAATAAGTATGTTTTGGAATATGGCAATAGAAGTTGGAAAACAAATTACAAACCAAATAAGGTTAACTTCTAACCTTTCCCCAGATGAATAGCTAGAAAAAACAGCAAAGGGTGTTATCGTACCTTAAAGATACATACATTTAATATAGCCTAATATCTTCATTGGAGACTTTGTATATTATCCTGAGAATATAATGTACAAACTCATGTTTGAAAGTATATTTGGAAATAATGAGCAATGATGTCAGAGGGAAATGACATATAAAAAATACCATTCATTTCTTTCTGGCGTCTCTCTTTACTGTTGATGCTCTTCCTCCCAAATGGCTGTGTATATATTTACATGCCTCTGATGAAATGCATTGCAATTCATGCAGACCTAAGCTATTATATATTTGTTAGTCTTTAAGGTGCCAGAAAAGTTTTTAATTTTTTCTGTATCTCTGACTAATGGAAATAATTTTTAAAGAATCCTCCCCTCCTTGTTGACATTTAAACATGTCCAGTAATTTATAGCAAATTTAATTATGCATTAGGATATATATTATGCAGAAGTATTATTGTGCAAGCTTATGGTTGCTGGTTTTAATTACAGAAATAAGGTAAACAAAATGTAAAAGGAATAAGGTAAACAAAATGTAAAAGGAATGCTATCCTTCTATTTCAGTAAGAGTGCCCTATTTCATTGATTTGAAAAGACCCCAGGATCAAGGCTTAAACCATACCAGTAACTTCTATCTGCAGCCAGAGGAAGATGTGACTATTGGAGTTTGGTAAGAAACACTTTATTCTTCTCATTATACATTGATGTCCTTTTATAATTAGAACAAAAGCTTTGCTTTTTTTGTGAATTTAGGGGAAAAAAATCAAATAATGCAATGTACATTGCAGTTGTGTGCAGTATTATGCTGAAGGTTGTGCTTTAGACTCAAGTCAAGAAGAATGCAGTTTTAATATAAATGGTGTGGGATTGTTTCAGCATGTGACTTTAGTCTCTGAGAACAAAGCATGGGAACAAGGAAGAAAAAGATAAACAACCTTGAGGATGACACGAATCACTGCTTAGTTGTAGATATATTTGCAGATGTAGCTTTCAGGTTTCATCTTTGTCTTTCTTTTTGAATAGAAGGTATCCCAGATCTTTGATTATGTGCCATGAACTTGTTTTCAGCTTTTATTGATCTCAAAAATAGATTTTCTCCATCATGATCTGTCTCTAATATGGTCTTTTTGATCTTCCAAATGATGCACTCACCACCCTTGTAACAGTCTATTCACCTTGCTATTGATTGTTTTCTTTTTCTTTTTCCTTCCATCTTTCCCAGAATCAGGGCCTCCTAGGACTTTGCATAATGTTCCAAAATAGGATAATTTGAGCCTCATCATTTGTGCCTCAAGTGAGGAAACCTTCTGGGTTGATTTATTTGAGAATCCATTTGTTTATTTTCTTGGCTGTTACTGATAATATTTTCAGGAGTCTTCTCTAACAATAAAGTTCAAAAGTGTCAATACTCTTCCTATTCTGCCTCTTCAAAGTCCAACTTTTACTTCTATAGAATATCAGAGCATAGTAAGACTTGCACAATTGTGATTTTTGTGGATACAGACACATCATTTGAATATCTTTTCCAAAGTTTGCATGTGATAGTGCTAGTTTGTAGCATGCTTTTTTACTAATTGTTCCTTTACTATTGATGGTTAATTCTAAAAGGTAGAAACCAGCACCCCTTTGATATCTTCGTTAGCAATTCTAATCCCAATTTTTAGTCTCGGATAATCAGATGGACTAACAAATGTTTTTGCATCATGATGCAGAATTATGTCAGGTTCTGTCAGATGAAACTGATTGTTAGGTAGCAGAATGAAAACTGGATAGCGAGTCTTGAACTTTTCCATTGATAACAAGAATATCAAACTGCACTTGCAACCAAACATTGTGGCTTACGGTGCTCTTAATTAGGATGTAATTCTGCCTTTGGAAAGATACTCAATTCTGTCCTCCCAATTAGCCTAGTTTTTCATCGTTTCCTTTCATCTGTTTGAATTCATATTTTTATTTTTCTTGTCTTCACCTCCTTATTTGATTTTTTTCTTGTAAAGCAATTTTATTCTTCTGTAGTTTTTTCATTTTTTCAATGCTATCGCGGTTAAATAAATATGTCAATTTTGCTTTTCCAATAGTATTTTTTTAATTATGTTTGAGGGATTCAGCCTGGACTTTTTCACTAAATAATTTTGTCATAATTTTATACTGCTCAGAGCAATGAATCAAAGGACAGTAAAATAATAGTAGAACTACCAGTTTGTTTAAGTATGACTATAAAAATACAAACAATAAAATAAAAGTTAATGATGTGATATAAAATATCCAAACAGTTGCCATAATTATGTTCTTTCTAACAAGAAAGCTATAATTGTGATGAACAATGAGCTGAGACTCTTGAAATTTAAAGAAAAACTAGGATTGTTATTAAATCTAATTTTTACAACTCCTGAACAATATAGTCTAAATTAAAGAACAAGGATAGGCAAGTGCACACTCCACTCTAGATAAGCAAACAAAATGCTCAGGGGCCCTCATACGAGGAAATTTTATCAGGGTTTTTATCTTAGAAAAAAGGTAAGTAAGAAGATGGAATGACACGATAAAGATATATGAAATTCTTTTTTGTAGATAGTGAGAAAAAATATTTACCTTTCTTAACAACTAGATCAGGGTCCTTCAATTAAGATTAAGAATATGAAATTGAGGAATTTTTTTAAAAAACTGCCTTTTCTCTCATAGTAAACTGAAGTTGCTAGTTCAAGATTTGAAGAGTTTTAAAAGGAGATTTAAAAATAACATGAATGTTCAGGTTTTATTTAATTGATTCTAGTTTTTGTGGTAGTATGTTTTTCAGGATTAGTTGTTGGAGAGCACTTGCCAATCATTTTGCATGGAATACTGGGTTAAGTGGCCTTTGGCCTAATCTGCACTGTTTTTATGCTCTTAGGCAATTTCTGCAAGTCTACGTATGATGTAGAATTGAGTAACAACTCATAATGCTAATTCAGCACTCTATTAATAGAAGTAAAGTGAGTTTCAAAAGTGATTTGCAACTTCTTTTTTCTATTTTAGTTTGTTTACATGTATCTAACCACTTGTCAGATTTCTTTAATGACAGTCCAGACAGGAAAAGTGCAGCAAAGAAAAAAATCTCTTTAAATTTTGAATTAATAAGATTTATTTTTTTAAAAAGGTTGAAATGATAATACAAGAATTGTGGCAAATAATTTGCTTGTAGATCTACCCCATTTTCTTTTGAATATTGTAAGATTGTTGAAAAACTGGAATGGGATACCTTTGTCCTAAAATGACTCATGTGGTGCTGCTCATGATAGGTAGTGTTTACAGATATCCAAAATTGCATTGTTCTCTATTTTACTCCCTGCCCCACCTTCATGTCTCTACCTACTGTGTTTCCCTGAAAGTAAGGCCTACCCAGAAAATAAGGCCTACCTTGATTTTGGGGGGTGAGCTTAATATAAGCCCTACCCGAAAAATAAACCCTAGTTTGGGGGCAAAGTACACACCTAAAAATTAAGCTGGGGTGATGGTGGGGGGTGGAACTGCACCCCGCACCCACTTACCTTGCAGCTAGGCCTCTCCTTGCAGGCCCACTTCTTCTGTGGCATCTTCTGCAGCCAGGCCTGCATTTCTCATTCACAGGCCTTTCCAGAAGGCCTATGCAGCCAGAACTGAGCTATAGATTCAATCCATACTGTAGTGGGCCAAGTCCTTTTATTTAGTGAGCTTGTAAAACATAATAAAATTAAAGTAATGGTGCAAAGAGTTGACTGGTTGCCCAGAAAGCGATGTAAAATGATATTATTAAGTGAACAAGGCTACAGTTATAAAGAAATTAGAAGAAAAATTGGTGGAAACTTAACCAAAGGTGGCATTTCTACTGTACACTTTTCCCAAAAGGTTTCCACAATTTTGGCCACTACTGTAGTTCAGTTCTGCAAGACCTCTGCATCCGAGAACCAAGCTATGGATTGAATCCATTGCTTGGTACTCGGTTGCAAAAGCTTCCGGAAAGACCTGACTGAAGAATGAAGCTGCTCCTTCGGTCAGAAGAAATGGACCGGCTGGGCAGGGCTGTCGGTGCTGGAGGTGAGTAAAAAAGACACCCCCGAAATAAGACCTGGTGCCTCTTTTGGAGGCAAAAAAAAAGTTAAAAACTTACTTTTATGTCTAACCACTACTTTAAAAGTATCAAAATTGTTGTTTAATATTCCTTTGTTTTCAACTTGTAGAAATAAGAGCCAGTTTAGTGAAATACTAAGGAACTTAAGTTATAGTAACAACTTACAAATTGCCAGTTGCATCAGCTTGGTGGGAAGAAGGCTGATAATTAACAGGATCCCAATAGACATGCAGAGGCAAATTTAACTCTTTCTTCCTGGTATAATCCTAAAGAAAACCCATTTTTGGAAGTTTGTACTGCTAAGGGTTGGAAAACAGGATATATCCCCATGGAAAGCAAGGAGTTACCATCCATACTGATTTTGAATTTATGAATTGCATGGGAACAAGTTAGATAGTTCTCGGTACGCATATTATTTTCTTTATTGATCTTTTCAAGTGTTTGGAATATAAATAGTTCTGCTTGGAATAATATTAAGGCTTGAAAATAGAGGCTGGAAATAAAATATAATAAAGCAGTGTCTCTAAATTCTTTAATTTCAAAGGTTATTTTCAAATTTGTATTGAATGCTGCTCCCTTGCTAAATCTTTGGCATTCATCTTCATGTATCTGTGCTGCACACATAACTTATTCTGAACCATAATTTTGATTTTAAAAGCCATGCCTAATTAATATAATTAAATAGGGTAGAAAATACAGAATATCAGTCACCTCTTTTCCCAAGTATGGCAGGGAAAGAAGCAGAAGTTTGCTGAGAATTGTTCTCATCCTTGGTTGTTAGACTGCACTCTTTTTCCAAAAGAAAACTGAATTAGTTATACTGATGTAAACTAAATAGGTTTCTAATGTACTGTGTATGCATCTTATTTACTTTCAAATATTGTTCAGATATCAGCAATATGCATAGATGGTAGCTTTGGTCACAGCTAATTAAGTTATTTATTATAAAATTAAAATATAGATGGTAGCTCATGGAAAAACGAGCTTTAGTAACTATATTTGCCCAGTAATGAACACTGACTGGATTTGAGAAGAATATAATTTTATAAATAATTTTATAAACCTTCTCAACAGGGTTATAAATTATAAATTAATGATGGATGGATGGATGGATGGTAATCAGCAGGATAGTATAAGAAAGGAACTAAATTTATGAGATTTATACTGCACAAAGCTGGTTTAATAAATTACTTACACAATTGCCTTAATTATATCTCTTCTGGAATTACTGAACTGGGGATGGGGGGACAATTATTTTGTCACATTGGCCCAATGCATGTTGGAAAAAAACAAGCACCAAACTTTAGTGTTAGGAGCAAAGGTAAGAAACATTTCAAAATATATTGTGTTGTTGTTAATTGCGAAGTCGTGTCCGACCCATCGCGACCCCATGGACAATGTTCCTCCAGGTCTTCCTGTCCTCTACCATCTTCTGGAGTCCATTTAAGTTCACACCTACTGCTTCAGTGACTCCATCCAGCCATCTCATTCTCTGTCGTCCCATTCTTCTACTGCCCTCAATCTTTCCCAGCATCAGGCTCTTCTCCAGTGAGTCCTTCTCATTAGGTGGCCAAAGTATTTGAGTTTCAACTTCAGGATCTTTCAAAATATATGAAAGGTAACAAATACTTTTCATGAGAAGACTGTTGGGAAAGACTCACATGTACATATCTATGTATACAGACACAGATATATGTAGAAGAATATAGGTAGTTCTCTACTTGCAACCGTCCCTGATGGCTTCCACATTGATTTTGCTTGTCAGAAGCCAGCTGGGAAGGTCGTAAACGGTAATCACGTGTCAACCTTCCAGATAGGAAACATGACTAGATGAACTAATTCTACTTTATTGTAAAGTTACATTAACAGAACCTTGCAAGTCTGAAAGTACAAACTTCCCACCTGCCACTTTTAACTGCTAGAGTCCAGTGTTTCCCAAACTTGACAATTTTAAGGCATGTGGACTTCAACTCCCAGAATTCCACAGCCAGCGTTGCTGGCTGTGGAATTCTGGGAGTTGAAGTCCTCATGCCTTAAAATTGTCAAGTTTGGGAAACACTGTCAGCTAGACCCATTAGGGCGGGTCCTTCCTAAATTTCTTTTTTTCCTAGGCAGCATCTCCTCTGCCCTTTCCTCAAGGTTATCTGTGCATTCCATTACATCAGGTGATGGCAGGGACACTGTGGCAGTCTAAGTGCAAGAATCAATTGCAAGTCATTTTTTTCATTGCCACTGTAACTTGAAATAGTTGCTAAATGAATGGTCATAAGTTGAGGACTACCTGTAATCAATGAGCACAGAATGTAAGCTAGGGTATTTCCTGTGATATAAAAATATATAATTGTATGGAATCAAACTGGACTTTGAACTCTTGCTACAGAAAGCTAACTTGCCTTTTTCTACATAGAACAGTTATGAGGCTATTCAACACAAGCCTAGCATTTTTAAGGATAACTCTTGTTTGTTTGGTTTGTTTTTATATTTATTTCTACCATGAAATAAAAATCCACCTCTGTTCATCTGTCCAAGCAGTTGCGCATTTCTGTTAAAAGATAACTTACCTGATTGAAACCTGATTTTACTGAGTATGATGTGGAAAATGCCATAAAAACAATTTTCTCTTCTCCCAAAATTATGGAAACATTTTGGAAGTTGTGCTGTAAATAATGTTTATCTTATTTAAAACTTGCTTGGACTTCTATTTTATTCTTTAGTTTGATGAGCAGTTCTTGCAATATAATGTCAATAGCAGTTTTCCTTGCAAATGGATTCACTATCCAGGCCACAATATCCATATCCACAAGCTCGTAGAAACAGATTTCCATTTCATTACGCAGCTACTTAAATGATCCATCTATATGAGTATCAGAAAATTCCTGATGTCCAATATTGTATGTGTATAATTTCAGTTTTTCAAAAAATCCCTTAATCTTCTCTTTTCATGATAAAAGGTAACACTTTCTTCCTTGCAGTTGCTTGTTTAACAAAGAAAATTTTTCAAAAATATCAGAGAAAAGTAAAACATGTTGCATTTAGTAAAAGTGATCTCTTTTTCGATCTGTTTACTATTGAAAAAATGCCACAACCATTCCCACAGAGCATCAAAATGAAGAATGCAGTTATCTTTAGATAATGGATTTCTGTATGCAATAATAAGTATTTAAATCACTCCCATTGCAAGGCTGTTGAAATAAACAATTTTGACATACATTTAATTTTATGCAGTTAACTGCCTTTCATATTAAACTTCTATATTGTTCTGTAGTTTGATGAGCAGTTCTTGCAATGTAACATCAATGTCAGCAGTATCCACTGCAAAAGGATCACTGTTCAGGCCAGAATATCCAACCCTTCCAAATATTTTGAAATCAAATGGTGGTGGTGAACTATGCAGTGAAAACAAAATACTTCTGGCACCACATATTTCAAAAATGCGATACATTTTTTATGTAACTGTCATGGAAGCTATAATATTGTCAAAAGGGGTATCATTCTTATTGAAATAAGTCTTCTTCAAAAATTGTTTTCCCTTTAATAACTGTTTTAAGTTTTCATGTGAAAAGTGTTTCTTGTCTGAACTTGTCAGCGACAAATATCTTACATAAGCCATAAGTATTGTTGTGTTATTTGGTAAATAGGCTTCAATTTGCAGACCAAACTTCTTAACTTTTAACTGGGACACTGGGAATCTGGCACCAACAAGACAGTATCTGTATTACTATACAATTTCTGTGCTGCCCCATTACATGTTTTTTACTTGTAGCTCCCTTGAAATATTCTATGGTTCCAATTGAGAACAGCTGAATTAAAACTCTAGAAATTCTGGAAGGAATTCAGCACACAATTCATTGCTGATGGTTTGTATACTAATTCTAGATACTGTATATAACTTACTTTACATTTCCTATAGCAGTGTTGGCGAACCTATGGCACGGGTGCCAGAGGCAGCACTCAGAGCCCTCTCTGTGGACATCCGTGCCGTTGCCCCAGCCTTGCCTCCCCCCACGACCACCCCCTCACCAGCAGCCCCCCTGGAGGAGAGTCGCCCTCGAGTGTGGCCCATGCGGAGCAACGCAGCCAAGGACATGGCAGCCAGGCAGTGTAGACAAGACTCTGCCCTCATGCCCCATCATGCACAGTTGATGCTGCGGGGCGTGGACAGAGGGCATGGCTGCCATGGTGCTGCTGGGCTGCCTGGGTGATCTGCGACAGGCCCTGGAGGTAGTGAGTGGCCCTGCGGGCAGGCGGGGGGCAGGGCAGGGGATAGAGCAGGGGCGGGGCCAGTTTTTGGGCACTCAGTCTCTAAAAGATTCACCATAACTGTCCTATAGGCTTCTGAAGCAGGGAAGTTACTAAGATAGGATGAAAATATGCAAGGAAACAATGAAACAATTCTTGTTACCATTTTTTTTTAGGCACACAGTTCCCACATTTTTATGGAAAGATGCTCAAGGGAAGGACCAACTATGGTACGAGGATATTTTGGGTTCCAATAACCCTGTAATCCTTTATTTGCACGGAAATGCAGGGACTAGGTAAGCAAAACACAAAAATGTAAATAATGCCCATAATTTAAATCTATTCAGGGCTCATTCTTCATTAGGCAGGGCAAGTACTGCAATACACACACACACACACACACACACACACACACACACACGTGCGTGTGTGTGTGTGTGTGTGTTTGTGTGTGAATATAATCAAATCAAATCAAATTCAGATGTGAATATAAGACTGCAGAGTAGAAAGGATTTTATTAAAGGACTTTTATTTTGCCGCATCTATGAGGGAAACACTCTGGCATTTTGCTTGTCTGATTCATTTTAAAATGTGAAGGGGGGAAAAGGAAGAAATACACTTTTTTCTAACAACAGTTTTGGATATAATTAGTAATGTTCATGCTGAAGCCAGCCTATGTCTTGTTTACTGTAGTTAATTTTTCAATGTGTTTCTCTTACTGTCTTTTCATCAGATAAGATTCAATGGCATTGTACCACAGTTTAGATCCCAAGATTAGACAACATAGTTGATGGCAGCAGCAGAGCAGGGCCTCTTTGATTAATGTTTTCAGTAACTAGGAGTTCTGTTGATTAATGTTTCTAATTTTTGGAGGAACAAAGAAAGCTATACTGATAAGAGAACTGGTTTAAACCTGTGAAGGACACTGACCTGAATTTTACTTAACTGCAAACTCATAATGTGAGAAACAGTTTTCCTGAATGTGAAGATAAACATTAACAAGATCATACCAAGAATATTATAGGATGCTATGGAATGTTACTTGCTACATATTAGTTACTGAGCATGTATGCTGCATCAGAGATGTGTCAAATGAAAGAACTCATTTCAAACCCAGTATGTTTGAACTGTATATAAAATGATTTTCTGCCTTTGTAAACTGCTCCTCTTAAGTGAGGCAACTTTCCTTACTTGTATGCAGATTTTAATGTACCTTTCTGGCTTGGATTCTGTTAGAACAAGGGACATCAGGCTAATAGATCTGCTGGCATTGACGGCTAACATGGTGGATGTTTTGGATTTCAATACTACTATGCATTTGAATGGAATTTATTGTTAATGTGCAGTTGTTTACAGATTCCAAGTAAGGAAATATTGAATACGATAGATGTAGAAAGTATATTCGCTCTTCCAGTCAGTATTTAGTAACATCTTCTTTGGCATAAGTAATAGCTTTTAAGTTTCTTATAGCCAGCTAAAAGACCTTCTATTCTTGCTTTTTTTAAAAAAAACTTCCTTGCGGAGATCTTCTAGCTCAGAAATATTCATTGGTCTCTGTACATGTTTTATATATCTGAGATCCACTTACAGATTTTCAGTACGTCTGGAGACCTTGAAGGCCGTTCCAAATGCAAGAATATAAAGAATTTTGGCTGGCTATATGAGTGAAGCGTTGTAATTACAGTTGGACACAATTTAGTTCAATATCTGCAATTCAAACTTTGATTTCTGGCTGACTTCTGAATGACATGAATAGAATTATGTAAATTCCAGTTAGCAGTGCTTCTGCCCTAGCAAGTAGCTAAGTCTACTGTTTTAAGTAAGGGTTTATTGAAATCAGTGGTTCTTGAATTATTTCTAATAACAGGTTTTTCATTAAAAGCCAGCTCATATTTATGCTGACATTAGAAAATTATGTAACACAATGTTTTATATTGATTTTAACTTTATTTTCCCAACATTTCTTAACAGAGGAGGGGGTCATCGTGTGGAACTTTACAAGGTAGGAATTGTGGTGTTGTTACTTATAAGTTCTAAATACTGTTATGCATTGCTATTAAAAGCAACATGAACCTGTATTTGTCTTCTGTAGTTTACATTTATTTAATTTATGTGCCTTGTTCCCTGATAAGGTAAAATAAATAAGAGTTAGAAATATAAGAAGGTACTCAAAACTGTACATTACGCATCAGTGTCAGTCATATTGTAAGCCTTTTATGATTTGTTCCATTCCACAACACAATGAAATATTGCATCTTGAAAAGTTGCCACTTTCCATTAAAAATGAGAACCTTGTATATTGCCATGTGAAAGTGAAGGAATTTATTAGCATGTAGTGATTATTATTTTAAAAGTGTTTCTTTAATTTATTTGAAGTTGCTTATCTTCCCATACAGGTTTTAAGTTTTCTTGGTTACCATGTAGTCACATTTGATTATAGAGGTAAGATCATTAGACTACATTTTTGTTCTTAGACTACATTGTTTATCCTTTTGTCCCCAAATATGGGTGGCTGTTTTGTTTTAACCAACCTATTGGCTATTTCTTGAATTTCATTAACCACATAATTTGCAGGAGTTTGTGTGTTTTATTAATACCCCAAATTGTGGAGCAAGGTCTGTTAATAGTAATTCCCTATTTTTATAAATTAATTGTAAATAAATTATAAATCTATTACAGAATATTTACAAATGAATTGTTTAATTAACAGTAAGAATATGCAAAATGTTGGATCTCAAATGAAAAACTTCACAAAATAATCTATTTTGAAGCTGCTGTTTTGAATGTGAAACAAGAAATTCTGAGCCAAAAACAACTTTTTGAACGCAGAAGAGTTCTGCTTCCAGCAAAAAATACTCCAGAATGGTTAAAACAGTCCATTTAATAGCATAGCAGCAGTTTCACATCCATAGATTGTTCTGTGGAGTTCTGCAAAGTTTCATGCTTGAAAATACTTAAAAATGATATTTTTTGCTTGTACCTAATTCGTTTTTTTCAAACAGTTATTCAAACTACATAGTAAGCAGTGAATCCTGTGCCAAGCCTTTAAAAATGTTAGTTTCTCTAGTACATTTTGACTGAATACTTTGGGAATATTTTATACTTCCATAAATAGATCTTCCCATTAATGTTTAATGACAACTTTACTTGAATGACTTCAGCAGTGCTGAGATACGGAATTATTGTGAGCTGAACAGTACGACAAACAGTTGTAAATATGTACATTTTCACAATTTCCAGATGCATTAAAGTTCTTCATGCAGTATGCCTTGCCTTTCTGAAATTAAATCAGCTAACAATAATAACAAAAACCCTGCTGTTTTGTATGGATACAAGCCTCATGTACTCAATCTGCTAACAAACGTCACTACTGCTAAACAGAAGATAATCTTAGATTTCCTAAAAACATGTAGGCTTGAATGTTAAAAAGTAGCATAGGAGGCATCTGGTTCCTAAAATAGGGCATTAGCTACTTCAACATATTGTTGAATATATTTTTTTCTGCCAGGAAGAATCAGGTCATAGAGGGACAAACAGTCTATTTCAAGTGTAATTTTCTTGAGCAGTACTTCATTTTAAAAAAGGTTATTAGAGCTTTCAATTAGCTTTGCAGTTTTCACAAGATAAAGTTTTTTTTATTTTAGTTCAGCTTGTAAGTCAGTTCCATTTCTCATATTCAACCTCAAATGATTGAAAAGCAGATATTCCCAGAAATTTTGCTGCAATTGAAGTTAATCTTTTTAGTGTGACTCCTCCCAGCCTGACATTTTTTAGATGTGCTGAGATGGCAACTTCCACAATTCCTATTCAGCATTCTTAGCTGAGTGTGTGTGTGTGTTGGGGAGAAAATTGTAGGAATTGGGATCCTGAGAATTCTAAGATGCTTTAGGTCCAATGGAACTAGAACCAGCATAGTTGGCAGGTAACTGAGTTTGTTTTCATATGGTAGTTTTTAAATGCAGAAAAATTCTCCTGTAATTGCACCCCCCCCCCAAGAATCCTTAAAATCTATTTGGAGGTAGGAAAACTCTCAATAAGTTTTTACTGTAGTTTTAAGATTTTGTAAAAGAAATTGTCCCACTCAGTTCCATTAGCAAAACAGTCTTATCAGTCAGAAATTCTCCTTGAACATTTAAAGGCATACTGGAATCCAGTTGAATAGGCCTGGTACAACTTTAGTTTCTACATTATGTCAACCCCATTTTATTTTATTGTGTATTTTAGCCTGTTCCAAGAAAATGAAAGGTAATCGAGAATTTACCTATTCATTTCCAATGTCCTGACTCATTGTGCTCTTTGGTCTTAATTGAAAAATGAAACCAAATCCTATATTTTGATTAGCAGCTTAAGTATGATTCTTGGAATATTTATTTTTATCTCTTTCAGGATGGGGAGACTCTATAGGCACTCCCTCAGAAAGTGGGATGACCTATGATGCTCTTCATGTATTTGACTGGATAAAAGCGAGAAGTGGAGACAATCCAGTTTATATATGGGGACACTCCTTGGGCACTGGGTAAACATCTATTTTTCAGATGATCTAAGCAGAATTTTAGAATATTAGTGGCATCATTTAAGGTTTACATTCTGCTGGCAAAAATATCCCCAAGACTCCACACAAAATGTTCCTATCACAGAAAAGTGGATTATGACAGAGTCAGTTGAATACTTTTGGAATATTTTGTACTTCTATAGATTGATCTTCCCATTAATGTCTTTACTTGAAAGACATTAATGAAAGTTATATCTTTGCTGATATCAAGAACTTTTTGCTTCTTCAGCCTTCCATTTTTCCGAGGTTAGTAAAATTAGGACCTATATTAGAGAGTTCTGTAAAGCACTGTGAAGCAGTATATAAGTCTAAGTGCTATTGCTATTGCTAAATGCTATTGCTAATGCTCACTTTCCTAATGAGCTTAGACTTGCATGTGCTGTAGCTATTGTCTTTTCTATTACACATGCTTGAACTACATTCTCAGTGCAGATGCTGCCAAAGACACCAGTAAATTCAAAACTTCATTGTTAGTAGTCAAAGGAGGCCAAACGGCTGGAGGAAATTGATTTTTCAGAGTTTAAATGGAAGAATATGCAAATGGGGTTTAAAGAGAGGAGATAGAGCCACTTCTAATGGAACTATGCTCATTAAAAAATAGAAATAAGAAATGTAATCAGTAAATACCCCTTTTTAAAGATTTAGGTTTTAGATTAAGTATCCCGCATGTAGTGGTTTCTTATTGTGTTATTTAATGATAAATGTGTGGGTGCCCCCCTCCCACCAGGGAGTTGGACATAAATTGCCTTTCATATATAGAAAGACCCTTTCATTCGCAAAAAGACTCCAATCAAGGGGTTTTTCTTGTCTTCTCTTCTCTTCTCTTCTCTTCTCTTCTCTTCTCTTCTCTTCTCTTCTCTTCTCTTTATTAGTGGAATGCATAAGCTCCAAAAAAAAAGTAAGTTGCAATTGCAAAACAGAGCTGCAGGAAATTTATCAAAATTACTTTGACAATATAAATATCCCATATTCAGTTTGGGTCCACTGAGAAGAACTTGGAATCCAAAGCATTTTAGTTTTAAGATAAGAGGAAGTCATAAGCATTTAGATTTACACAAATGCTTCTTTAGATTGACAAATAAAAGACTAATATCATTCAGGCATCTTAGATTTGAGTTATACATTGCATTACAAATGATGGGCAGCAGTTTACTGTTTACTACTTTAATTTCTACTGGAGCAATGTGTGAAACTGATCTGATGAATAGTGTTTTATTAGCAATCTATAAATAGAATATACTTTTTTAAATTTAGATTAGAGAGATAGAGCTGTTGTTTATGTCATGGCCTCATATTAAACATTCCAGAATTCCATCACTCATTGCTGCTTTCTTATGATGAAGTGATGTGTCAAACCATAATGTTTTATGTTTTTCGAAGTAGGAAATAAGATAAATGAAGTAGAGTTATAAAAAAGGTTTAAGAAGAGAACTAGGTGAGAGCTCTCTGTAATCAACATTTAACTCTGTTTTGCTTCTAGAGTTGCAACCAATCTAGTAAGACGTCTTTGTGAAAGAGGTAAGATAACTTTTTCTACATGATGTTATCAAGGAGCATTTCATATCAACCATATTTTCTCTTGTCTTTGAGAAAGGTTTAAATAGATCAGTATTTAGCAGTAAAACTATTATTAAAATGTCAGAGTGACATAATGATTCCATCATGGTGAGTAGTTTTTTGCAGGCCAAAACACTTGACTGTTGATAGGTGTGGCATTGAAAGAGGATACCATAAAAATGAATGTTTTATTTAACTTTGATTAACATAATATAATTATTTTCTTGTTATACATCATAGTGTTCTTCTCTTATACATAGTTTGATAATGTTTGAAGTTCTCTGGAGGCTGTAGTAGTTTTTACCAGCTGCAAAAAGCCTCTTTGCTCAGCTCTTCTGTGATGGGTGGATTTGGCTAACAATTTTTAAATCTGGCAGAGTAGTTAACATACTGCATTTGTATCTTCAAAAGATAAGTGCAGTTGTTCAGCCTGTGAAATTTTATTTTAGAGGTTTTTAAATGCTATCAGAGTTCAGGATATCATACTCTCCTTCTGAACTCTAAGCCAGAGCTTATTCATTTGGTAGTTTGTCTAAGTGGCTTTAAAAATAATGTAATAATACATACTGTTTATCCAGATATAAATTGAAAATAATGACATATTTTTGAACACCTGAAAGTCTTCTTGCGATTATGCCTCTATGTGTAGTTCCAACTCTGGATTTGCATTCCTCCACACTACTTTGATGTCCTTCGAGGTAGATACAAGACATATTCTTGTAGAGATGTACCGATAGTTTGGCTGAAATGGACAATGCTCTATATTTTTCAGAAACTCCCCCAGATGCCCTGGTATTAGAATCACCTTTTACAAACATACGTGAAGAAGCAAAAAGTCACCCCTTTTCAGTGGTAAGTATAGATTTACATGCTAAAATTCCCATCTTATTTTATCATATTTAGGTTTCCTTGAGAATTCTCAACATATCCAATAAGCAACACATATCAAGGTTTTTTGTTTCAATTTTTTTCCCATATGTGCAAAGTATTGTTTTCTCTGCCAGGAGGTTTCCCAGCCCAGAAAGACTGAAATAATTCCATGTATAAAATGAGCATATTCAGCAAAAAAAAAATCTGTGTAAGATTTCTGATAGTATAGTTCCAGGTAATTGGCCTTTTTTTTGGAATGAAGTCATTTAGAAAGGAGTGTAAGAATATATGTAAGTGTTAACCCTCTGGAAATAGGCTTCGATATTTTTACATTTTACAAATTCATAGCCAGAAGGAATAAGTATTGAAGGAGTTGCAGATACATTCTGTATGTACATTCCGGAACTTATAAGTGACTGTTACTTTATACTTTGAATAATTTTTTAATAGACTTTGAAACAATAGCTAATCCTCACCTTATAGTTCACCAGAAATTAAAATGCATCTTCTAGTGTAGCACCTTGTAAGGACTCTGCTGAAAATAGAGGTGCTGCAAATTCAATACTAACATCATTGGAATACCGGTGCTATTTAAAAACCTTGTCTGACATAATCATTAGAGTTCCACCTCTGGACTAGTTGGAAGTTCTTTTTCCATTTATAATGAATTACTGCTCTATGCTAATGAAAGTGTGAAAAAGGAGTACTGTGAAAGTATAACAGTGATCAGACAGAGTAGAACAAAGCCATAGAAGGGAAAGCTGCCTCTTCTTATCACACTGGTCAGTTTTCAAAAAGTTTTTTTTTATCAACACTTAGATAACAAAGCTTTTTTACACTACCATAGAATGAACCCCCCCCCCAATAAAGATAATATATTTAATTTTAGAAGAAAGAATTGTAATCTTTCCTCCCTTTTTCCTCCTCCTTTTACACTCAAGGACCCAATATGATCTCAAGAAATATTTCTTTTCTCTGCTACAGGAGAGTAAAATCATCTTCAAATCCAACTTAACTCTTGATAATTTCAAGGATACGTCCAAATAGTTTCCTTAGTAGTACTGTGGAAGTGCTTTGCCATTACCATCTTCCATAATGTGTTTTTCTTTAAAAAAAAAAAGTCCTAGCCTACAGCCCTAATATTTCTTGGAAGCGTATATCCAAGTAGTAAATACACTTGATCCTGCTAAGGTTAGTCCAGTTCTTCCACTTGCAATACAAGCACAAAAAATAGGATAAGAATTCCTGCCCCTACCTTCAGGCCAGGTAATCTCAAGAAATGTGGGCCTGTCTAATGAAATAACATAAAATCAAAATTTTGATATAAAGTTTTGGAAGTACTTTTGTAAAAATACATTTCATATGACATTTACTGTATGTACTTATTTTTAAATTATATATTGTCCTGAATTATTTGACACCGCAGCTATATATTTATATCCGTAAGATACATTGCATGATGATGTTACCTAGTTTGGTAATGAAACATCTTCAAGAAAACAACTAAGGTTAGAGAGCACCAAGTATCCTACAATAAGATACATTATTATGCTTCTTTGTTTTAGTACTACTATAATTCAGATTATGTGCGAAGTTGTTGCTAAAGGAACCGCTTTCCTAAAGGTAGAAGAATAGGATCCAAATGTAAAGAACCAATTTAGCCTAATAGATAGGCCTCAGCAAGGGTGGGTATCTTGAGAAAGGACTATTCTGTATCTTAAAATATTTGTACAGGTTTATAATGGTAGAGATGGCCCCATCACATTATCAGGCCTAAATCTTTTATCCAATATAATAGCACCACATTAAAATAAATTAAATTGTCCAGAAAGCAGTTGACAGTTGGTTGAAAGAGTTAAACATCAAGTGAACTCAGTGTTATGCATTTGTTACCATTAGCATTAGTTAGTAAACTAATAGACATATTTTACGAATTTAGCTTCCAGGCAGTTTGCAAAGTGAGCCAATGTAGAGTGTATTGCAGTACAGGGAATCCTTATTTAATAACCATTTGTTGAGTGACTGTTCATATATACAAGAGCACTGAATGAATGGCAGTTATGACCAGTCATCAAAGTTGCAATCATTGCAACACCTTTGTGCTCATGTGATCAAAATTTGGGCACTTTGCAAGTCATCACATTTATGACTGCAGCATGCTTTTCCACTCCCCCCCCTCCCTATTTCTCCGATCTGCTTTATTGGTTGCCCTGCACTCCACAGTCCCTGCTGCCCTCACCACTTTGCACTCCCCCTTGCACTCCTCTGTCCTGCACTCTGCTATCCCTGCAGCCTCCTGGTGCCTTCAGCTGACCTTCGCTGTCTTCTTCCTTGCAAGGCCACTGTAATACCTTGCAGCTGGGCACACCTTGTCAGCAGCAGGAGAAAGAAAATAGTTGAGGTGAGCTAGGGGTGGTGAAGAGCCATGGGGCTAGGTCAGTGGTTCTCAACGTTTGTGTGACGGCGACCCCCGTCACACAAACGTGCTGTGCATGCGCGGCGCCGCGTGCATGCGCGGCGCCGCCCCCATGCGCAGCGTGCAAATGTGGCGCCGCCCCCATGCGCAGCGTGCATATGTGGCGCCGCCCCCACGCATGGCGCGCATGCGCAGCGCTGCCCCCTGAGGGGGAAAAATGGCGGATCGCCTTGTTTGGCGACCCCCGAGAAATGATCGATCGACCCCAAATGGGGTCGCGACCCATAGGTTGAGAACCGCTGGGCTAGGTGGTGGTGGTGGAGTCCTGGCCACACAAAAAGGCCAAGATGATGGGAATTAGAAGCTGAGGTGAGCATGGCAGGGCAGTAGATCCTTCCTGCCAAAGGAAGTTTGCTAGACCAGGCCAGGAAGGAAGCAGCAAGACAGGAGAAGCACAAGGCCTCTATCAGGACTACCATTGCTTCAGTGGTACAGTCATATGATTTATCTAACAATTTTTTCACTAATTTAGGATCATTAAGTTACCTATGGTGAAATTGGGATATAAACAAGGCATGAAAAGTGTGTGATTAAAGACGCAAATTGTGTTTATGAATTCTTAAATTACACTTCTTATACTCCTGTATACCTGTGCCATAAATAGAAAATTTGCCTGTGACATTTTGCAAACTTTTTCCAGATATATAGATTTTTCCCGGGATTTGACTGGTTTTTCCTTGACCCTATCACATCGAGCGGAATAAAGTTTGCCAATGATGAGAAGTAAGTAAATAAAATATCTATTGACTCCCTCCTCCACCACTTGCTCTTTGAGGTTTTCAGTGACAGAAAAAAAAAAACTGTTATTCTGAAAGGTTTTCACAGAATTATTGTGTCATGGATGAACCTATCCCTGCTTTTCCTGTTCAGCTACCTTGGCTCAGGAAATTGTACATTTTTTTTTTAAAAAAAGCCAGCAGTTCATTGTAACAAAGTAAAGCATTTTGTCTAACAGAAATATAGCCTTTGGGATAGTTGTTTCTTTGGAAAATTAAGATTTTTATTCTTTCATGCTATTCCATTTTTGATTGGACAGCAAATTTTATTTTAGCCATTTTTTCCTGAATGTAATTGCACAAATGCAAATAATCTGCACTGGAAGACTATTGCAAAACTACTTATTTTTCCAAATCCTCAAACAGTGTAATAAAATAATGTACAAAAGCATAAAATTCTGTGATTCTGAACTTTCCAACAGTTAACCTTGAATAAAGTAAAGAGATATTCATATTTTGTTCATATTTTTAAAATATACCCAATTAATTGTTTGGTATGTGTTGTATTTACAGTGTGAAGCACATTTCATGCTCTCTGCTTATTCTTCATGCTGAAGATGATCCTGTGGTTCCATTTCATCTTGGAAAAAAGGTGCTGCTTTATTTTTAACTCTTGCCCCGTTGTAACTTTATAAATATCCTGAAAGACTTAGAATAGTATCTGGGCTTGAATAATTGCAATTTAATTTTTGTGGGGCAAATCAATATATCAAACCTTGACTGCTGCTATTGGAAGAAATGCATTTTCAGAGTGTTGATGGAGACAGATAGCTTAACTCTGTCTCACTCTCCTTTTATATCGTCAAGGAAGCTACTTTTAAAATGTGTTTTCATTCAAGTATCATCATCCTAGATAAATTAGAAAATCATGGAGCAGATCGCTATGTTCCTCCTTGATAATCCTTCTGCTCCTTCTTATTCTAAGATACAAAGCTGTAGCCTTGTCTGTCATTTTCCATCTCTGCACAGCCTTTAAAATTGCTGAGAATGAGATGGTATAGAGTGTCTTCAACAGAAGGGGTATCAGAGAAGAATGTGAAATACAGTGTGTCATGTGCATGGTTTTATATTCTCCTGTAATCTGGAATTATTGCCATGACTTGGTTTTAGTCATCATTGTTGGAATTGGTGAAATAGGAGCTGACAGCTGTCTTGTATCTAGAGAAAGAAAGAGTTAAGTCTGTGCAATCAAAGAGATTCTCTCTTTGTGTACCACAGAATGAAAAGTCAGGAAAATTTATACAAGAGAAAATTTGAATTTTAGTTTCAACTCAGTGCAGTCATAAATATTAGACAGTAATTCTCATCATTCCATGGCCTTTGGCCAGAATGATTAGTCTGTTTATCATATTTATATAGCCACAGATCTCTCATATGTGAGCAGCATACACAGTAAAAAAATAATAATAAAGAACTAACAATTAAAAGTGGAACCATTAAAACATAATCAAAACATATTTTCATTATAACAGTGCATTAGTGCCATTTTGATGAATGTTAAGGGACTCTTTTTCTGTAATTACCAGTTTTGTTGAACTTCTTAGGTCCAAAGACTTGTACAGTACAGCAAGTCCCCAGGTTAAGAACACCCTGCTTTTAGGGTGACCCATAATTAAGGATGGAGTTTATAGTAGCAAAATTCAAGTTAAATATACAATGGTTTAACTTAATTACACAATACTATTTATACATATTAACAGTATGTAAACTGTTCCAGGTTACATACAAATTCAACTTAATAGTTGACTAGACCTTGAAAATGAAATTTGTTCTTAAACTGGGAATTATCTGTACTATCTTGTATTTAATTTTAATATGGTGAAAGGATTTGCTTTTAAATATCTTTACAGCTATACAACATTGCTGCCCCATCTCGGAACTTTCGTGATTACAAAGTACAGTTTGTTCCATTTCACAAAGAGCTAGGATACAGGCATAAATACATCTACAAGAGCCCAGAGTTACCTCGAATATTACGGTAATTAAAAGGATAATTCATACGTCACATAATATTAGTCTGGGGGGATGAGCTGGTTGGCAATTCTAGCAAATGTAGTCCATCACATCTGAAGAGTAATTTTCCCAGTGGTTTTGGAATTTGTATTACAGGGATACAAAAGAGAGATACTGTGGAATATTTTGACATTGTTTTTATGACATGAATGTTTAGAAGTAGTAGAACTGTTTGTTATGTCTGCTTCCCTTCTTGTGAGCTGTCAGTTTATATCATATTTTTGTCTTAGAGCAAGTCAATCTCTTGGGAACAATCTCTGAACTTTTATTGTCAAGACAAAGTATCTGATCTTTTATTTTTAATCTTGCTAGATGTAGACCCTGGTTTTTCTCCCCAGAGTGCATTCTGTATGTCCCAGGGTTCTCCCAGCTATATAAAGGCAAATGACTCCTACAAGAGTTTACTGTTAAAGATCAGGTCACAGATTTGATAAGCATTCCTCTTCTCACAGCATTAAAAAAAATCTACTATTGAGCCATGCAGGAAAGGAAAGAGTTGTGTTATATGCTGACAAATATGGGGAGAAGAGGAAAAAGATGAACCTAAAATAGCAAAATATTTGACACAATAAACAACTGGTTTTTTTTTCCTTCCTAGGGAATTCCTGGGAAAATCTGCACATCATCATCATCAACATCACTGAAGACTGAAACATGGTACACTTAAGATCATACCATCTTTGAAAAAGAGAAAGAAAAAATGTCTGCTATTATTGAAACCCAAACACTGGATATGCCACTGATTCTGGCTTCAGTTCTAAAAGATACTTTAAAATCCCAAGTTCTGGGATAGTAGATATGAAGAATGAATGTAATTGGCTTCTGTGTCTTTTTTTTCCCCTAAAGAATGAGGGAGCAAAATGTTGGAACAATTAAGTTCAAGCACAATAAAGACTTTGTATACCCCTTCCCCCCTCTCCCCCCCCACTTTCTCCCAGAAATTATAAACATTCTCACAATATTGTGCAGGATTGTTACAGCAACTCTTTACAAAACAAAAGAACTTGCACTCAACATAGCTGGACTATTGTTATCTGCAAAAATATAATTCTTACAACTTTTCAGTGCTATCTCTATTTTATTTGAGCTGCAGGTTCTCTTCTAGAATTTAGTTTGGCAAGGTATATTTTTCTCCTGTTGGTTGTGGAAGATAATGTGGATTTTAAATTAATTTTAGAAACCAGAGACAAACAGATAGATAAGACAACATTACAAGAATGAATTGAAGGATGGCTCACTGTTTTTTTAAAAAAGGTGCCCGTTTAACAATTATAATGTAATAGTGGTCAATTTTTCCTTTATTGCTTTCCTTTCAACTCTCCCAGATAAGAAATATACAAAAATCTTTATGATACCTCTGTTTACAGACATGTCTCTACTTTTCAAACATTTTTTTGATGTGTATATCCTTTAAATAAAATACATCACATTAATTAAAATTATCCTTGGAAGTTGTTTGAAGTAGCTTTTCTGTTAACAGACGTTTTTAAGTTTAGACTTGTGGGAGAATGTATGTTTTCACTGTGGTAAAGATGTCTTCCAGTCTCTTCTAATCATAGAGAGAAATAAAAGCACTTTGGGAGTGAAAAAGAAATGATACCATTTTAAATAATTGTGATTATTCAGACATCCCAGCCTAGCCATTTCCTCCAAAATGCTCAGGTACACTAAAGGTGGTCAAAAGTTTCCTTTTTAAATATAAGGGAAATAAATTAACCCTTTGATTTCTTTTGATGTGCATTTTCTTTGGGAATCATTCTGAATTCTCAGCAGGGAAATTATTCATATGGAATTCACCATGGAATGCTGAAATATCACCCAAGTCAACCAAAGGTATTGAAAGTGACACATTCTTATGTTAACAATATTTCATCTCTGATTATTAAAGTAATTCCTTTCTACTGTAAAAACTGAAGGTTGGTTTTAGTTTGCTATGTGTATTATTAAAACCTGTGATGAATGAAATCTACTTTACTGGCTTTAAATGTTCCCTTCAATTAATACAAGGTGTGAATAGAGAATTCTTTTCTTTTATTACAATAAAATTATACTTTCTATACTGAATTGAGCAGACAATGTAATAACTAGTTTTAACAAATACAGAATCTGACTTTCATGTACAGCTTTTGAGATTGACCAATTCTTGTATTTTATGAAAACCTAGTCCCTTATCCTAGTTTGGGCTTAATCAACAGCAGTGCCATGCATTGCTTCCATTTTGATTAGAAAGAGGTGACCCGTTGAAGCCTCTATGAGTTTTGCAAGGGAGGTCTCTGCTGTCACCATATGATCCTGGAAGCAGACATGTCTTCTTGACTGAGTTGAAGACTGGGGCTACATTTGCAGTGCTATGCATTCCATGCCACTTCTTCCAAATAAAATCTGAAGTATTCATGGCTTTAATAAATAAAGATATGTATAATCCTCCCACATGCACATAAGTGTTTTGCTTTTTATATGTGATGAAACAAGCCAGTAATTTCAGTGAACCATAATTGGGTTGAGAAACTATGGCTAGTATGTTTCAAACAAGATGAATTAGGAAACCATTGTTTAAAGATGGATTCTAGATACCATTAGCACTGATTCCCAATTGGGATGTTGTAAGAGGCTGTGGTTTATTTGTTGATTTGAACACATGAAGGGGGAACAAAGTGATTGTTCATGAATGCATAACATTCCAGTGTAACTTTGTTTATTAAGCTGCGTCATGATCATCCAAACACTGCCATGTGATTACCAAAATCCATTTTTGAGATTTGTAAAATCTCTCCCTTATGACAAAAAGGATAGCATGGATGTTCATTTAGGTCAGTCTTCTTCAATTTGGAAATCTTCCATGTATGTTGGGACTTCAGTTCTGTATTAACTAAGAATGGAAGAGGCTGTATGTTAGGGAGGAGACTACAGAAGACTGATATTTTGCTATTTGCACATACTTTGTTTTGCTAACAAAAATCAGTGCAGGCACGGATGGCATGGTGAGCAATTAGAGTAAAGGAATTATGAGCCAGTGCGGCTGGTGGGCTTAAGCAGATTGCTGTACAGTGACCCCTCTTTTTATGAACTTGGCCCTGAAATATTCATGTCTTAAACATTCAATATTGGACACAATAGACTAGGTACTGATGTTCAGAATAGTTTTTTTTTAGTCTGAAAGATATAGTGGATATTAGTTACTAATATTGTCTATATATTACTTTTTGGCATGTATCAAATTACAGATTCATTCTGCAAACATTTGCTTGTTCTTTACATTGAGACTTCCTGCAGTTAAGTAATCTATCAGTTTTGATTCACAATAACTTGCAAAAGAATTGTGCCATATAAAATTTCATCTTTTCTCCCCTTCTCATGTTTAGGATTATTGCATTTAAGAAAGACAAAAATGCTATTTCAGCTCTTTTGAGCAAGCCAAGATAATATTCTGTGTAGCACTGCTCCTGCTGACACTACTTTAGTATTGATAAAGTACAGACTAATGTGGCAATGTCAACTCTGCCAGTGCAACAAAAACTATATCTCAAAGCATGCACAGTGCTATTTGTTCTGACACATATGTTTCAATTGTTAGGCCAGTAACATGCATTGAAATGGAAATGTTTATCTGAAACAGTATGTAGTTTTAATAAAAAAATGATTTTGACTTCTTTTGGAGGTAACTTTGTTTTGTTTAGTATAAATCATGGACTGCTGGCATTTATGCTTATATCCAGGAAATTTGTCAGAAAAAAATTAAAATAGTGACATATTGATTGGGAACTAAACAACTGTAGACATGTGCATATAAGTACATATTTTCTGCTACTCACAGAATTCTATATGTGAGGTGCTCTGGGCTAATACAAGAACACATTTCATTATTTCAATTTTTGTCAAAGGAAATATACTATGTAATTTGTGAGTTACATTGTGGCCAGCAACTTGACAATTTTTCTTTGACTAATTTTGCACATTCAGTGAGATTACATTTGGATCAGATTATTTGCTTGAGTTCAGGGAAATTTTAAAAAATTGAATTTCCAGTATGAATGGAATAGATTTCTGTATGCTTTGAGACATTAAATTATTTAGATTGCTGTCTATGACTTTAATCATTTTTCTTACTTACTACCATTCACATATGAAATTGGAGTCTGTCAACTAATCCCAGGACAGTATCATCCTAAAATGACAAGTACCTTCTAGGAGGTTTAGGAGAGAGGCCAGCTGATATAAAATGCAACTTTGCTTCAAGTAAACTAATCAAAATATCTGTGGATATATATATCATATATGTTTGGTATCTTAGAGGAGGAGTAAGTCTAGTGTCCACATTTTCATACTACCTTTAAAACCCAAATGCATTTCTTTTTCTAATTAATCATATTGTCCCTCAAAACTATTTTTTCTCATGAGCGGCTTAAAATATGTGGCATGGATCCAGTTTATATAAAAAGAAATCAGGTTTCATTCTTAGTTGCCTAGGACAATTCACTAGACAAATTTGGTTCGATCATATTCTCGCAGGATAACCTACTTCACAAAATAATTTTGATAACAAAATGAGAGTGAGTGAAATAGTTATACTAGCTTTAAAGCATCCTGCATTTTTGTGACTCGTAAGATACCTAACCAATACAATATAAAACTTGTTATTGTCTGTTCAACTATGTAAATTAATTTGCAATCCTTGTAGGGGTACCTTTGAATGAATATCTTCCCCGTGCCACTATTGTGAACATTGAACCTGAGAATGGCCATTTAACAAGTCCATGGTAAAAATGTTGGACTTTTCAATTACATCTCAGTCGAACTAGACATAAATAGTACTGTATTAGAAATTTTAGAGATTGGCAGTTGGGACCCCAACTTTAGTTGGGATTGTGGCATCAGAGATGGTTTCAACCCCTCCTCATCACCCCAATTGGAATAGGCTAGAATGTGTGATAGAGAGAGGTTCCCCAAGGATGGGCTCCAGCACAAGTCCAAAGACTGGGAAGACTAAACCTCTGGTTCCGGTGACCGACCCAGATTGGATCCTGCAACATTATTATCGTAGGACACGTATATTTGCCTTCATTCAGGGACCACTTTTCCTATGCCTGCTATTTAATGTGGGAGGAGAAAGAAGTTTAGAAAGAACTACTTAAGATCATCCATGGTCCCAATGCAGCTCTAGTACTTTGAGTGAATAAGAGAGCTCCCACTGCTCCAAACTGATTGAGACCATGAGTTATTTAGGCCAAGCCATATAATGGAATTCTTGCTTTGCTTTGGACCTCGCTCTCATAACTATCACATCATAGTTAATTACACCGATTTTAATAATATGGCAATTTTATAATTCCATTCCAAAATAAAAGATAAATCAAGTGCAATGTTCATGGAAGTTTAATGTTTTGAAAACACAGGAGAATAACAGTACTATATCATAAGCACGCCACACACATTAAAACAAACACAAGTTTTGTAAATGACATGATTGTGACAAATACATCTATTTAGCAAGCACAGTAAATTTGCTAATTTGCTTGCTTCAGCCTCCTGCCTGGCTAATTGTTGCTTGAAGAGGTATCTTCTCTGAACTAAGTGTTGCTCACAATAATTTTACAGACTATGAAGAAAAATAACCAGGAATAGAACACATTCTTAAGAGTGTAATGCAAAATACATGTGAGATGGGAATGCTTGCGAACATGCAATATTTTATGCACAAATTTCAAGACATAAGAAGACTTCCTCAGCAGAAGCCTGTGATACTTTACTTGGATTTAAATTACATAATCCACACTATTTAGGGGAAAATGTTCTGTATATGCTGAAAAGAGTACAGTAAATCAACTTTGTTTCCTTATTTCAAGCATTTTATGGCAATAAAATGAATCATAGGAACACCTAGCAGTAATCAACTTAAAAACAATTCCTACCAAAGAAAAATTTAACAGCATTTCTTAAACACAATATTGTGTTCCCTGGAATTCTTCCATTATATATATTTTGCCTTTGACAAAAACATAGGAAAAGGATTTGTACCCAGCCAATATCCAGAATCTATGAGCTTTAAACTAGGAATGGCCAATCTATTTTCTTCAATGTGGGGATAAATTGGCCATGCAGTGGAAGGCAAGTAGAATGGTTATTTACTAAGAGCAACAACCAAATAAAACTAATAGGTACAATGTGTTGTGGAGACTAGCCCTTGTCTCAAATGCATTTCAAGATGGCTTTCAGGTGCAGCCTGATAACAACATATAGTGAATTTCTCAATGCTTTTTCAACAGAGCTTTCATATTCAACTACTTCTTAATTGTGAACCTGGTATCTAATTGCACTTTAATTCTTAAAACAATGTGACACCATTTTTGACAGAAGCTGTCAGATAGCAAAGAAAGGATAGACTTTTTGAGCTTCTATGAACTTATATAATTATTTTTAAGTGTTTAGTGAGAAATGAGAAATTGCTGATTCAAACTAGTTAAAGGCTAACTCTTAATTGTCAGTATTTTAAAGCTTTTCTCTGATTTTGCTGATTTATTCCTATTTTCTGCAACTGGCCAAACAATTGCTCAATCCAATTAGTTAACTGCATTCCTTTCATCTTTAGTAGGACATAAATACCACTTAACTTATTAAAGAATATCATTGGTTGGATTAGGACCAGGCTAGCTAAAGAACTATTATGATGAATTTGGAATACTGTTGTGCAGTTTTATTTTCATAAACTGATGAGGGAATCTCATCCCTTAAAAGTAGGCCCTGCTTAATTCTCTATTTTCAATGCTAGATTAGGCCCCTAACTGATAATACCAAAGTAAGAATCTAAAAGATTATATAAATATTACTTCCTTTAACTGTTTTATAAGACAAGTGATTTGAACTTTTGCTTGTCAGCATGAGAAAAATGTCCATGAACCAAGGATTTAAGCAAATCCATAGTTTTATAGAATTATTTATTTCTATTGTTTAACGTACTTGATGATCTTTCTTGATTTTTTTTTTAACTTGGCTGGCTTCTAAAGTGCTGCATTTGTAATTATTTGGGTGTATAATCCATTCAAAAAACATCTGAATATTTTATTAATATCAAATGACTATTTTATTCATTTGCAGCATGCTTGCCCTTCATGATTAGGCACAAGAGGGCTTTATATCTGAGAAATAGGAAATATCTGTAAGTGCCAATTAAGATGGTTTGAGTCTAGGAAGCAGGAATCTGCAAGGGTTAAAAAAGCAAGGCTTCCTACCATTGAGGCAACACGATGGTATGGGCTTTTAATGATCAAAGTTAAGATACTCTATGACAGACATTTCTAAACAGTGAATTAGGCAAGCTCTTTGGGAATTCCTCAGTTAGCCAATCAGGGGTGGCAGACATGTTCTTGCCAATCTCTGGTTAATCATCTTTCATTAATGCATTCTAGAACAAACACAGAAAGACATGGATATATGATGGTACTGCTATGAAAACCAAATGCTCCCTCACAATTAACACTCTGAAAATAGTTACTACTCTATAGAGTAAAATTGTAGCCACACTGGTATAATCTTAATTTATAAATCCAGATTGGTAGGAATCATTTTTCCAGCTATTACTACTGCCTTTTTTTCTCATTCTTTTACAAAATGTAGCAATAAAACCAAATAGATTCCAATTAATCACAGATTCCAATGACAGTCAGTTGTTTTAGAACAAGTTACAATTATAAATAAATGTTAAACTGTGGTTTAACAGCTTGGTTTGTGCTAAGGATCTTAGCATGAGCCTGGAAATTACAATTGTATTAGTATGGCTATATACCACAGCAAATTAAAAAAAAATGAACAACATACTTACAAACATCTTGAGTTAATAAGATATAAGACCTCAAAGTTCATCTGAAATGAGGTACTATAGCTGTAAACATACCAATATATTCTATAATATACTTAAATGCTGCATAAACCTGGAAGAACTGAACCTTTAGCAGTTATTTAGTGAAGCCTACACAAAATCATATATTTTATTTCAATTTCATCTACTTTTATTAGACAAAAATACAGCAGACTGATGTAAAATGAATATTACTGTTTTGTTTTCACAATTTGTTGTTTTCTGGAATAATGCAAGCATTGAAATTTTGTTACTTTATGGCTCTTGAAATTTATGAAATTATTGTGTTTCATGCCATTCCGATTGATATGGGTACAGACTACTCCTGGATATTGGAAACGGTTGCTTGTCTGCTAGATCTTGCTCCCAATTTCTCAACAGATGATCAGAGTATCAGCTCTGATCAAACTGTCATCTGATTTTGACAGTCTTCCTCCTGTATGTGAGGGGTGATATTATTTTTTAAGTATTTTATTAATTTTCTAGGGGTGATATTGTGTGCCTATTTGCTGTCTGTTCAGAAAACTGTTCCTACATTTGATAGATAAGGTTGTATTGCTTATCCATATGGGGCGACCCTAAAAATTAATCTAGGGAGAGGCAGAGATTAGGCAACTGTTTCTGGCCTCCTGATCCTATGTAACTCCCTGACAATGGGGAATTGCTACCACAGGATATTTGGAGGGTATCAGCTTAAAGAAGGAATATTTTGTAGATTATATTCATACAGCTGCCAAATTTTCACTCTTGACATATTTCTTTGACCTGGTGTTAGAGTGATAATGCCTCTAAGAAGTCTGAAAAGGAAAGCAGCATGTTTGTTTAACTTTTTGGTTCTGGAAACTTATAGGGCATACATTCATTTCCATTCTGTCATGTACAAAGTTGCCATTTAAGGATTTATTGGGCTCTAAAATATAGTTAATTTCCTCAGCATTTTCAGAAAAGAAAAATTTATCTATTTAGCAACCCAGGCTAGAAGACCTGATAGATCCTCAAAATGTAATGTTATTGCCTGTTATTAAAAATCATGGGGTTTCCCAATATACTATTAAAATACTAAAAATGCGACCTCTAGAAACAACATTGACTCAAGAAAAAGTCTGGATAGCAGTGGTTTCACTATGAGAAGTGACAGCTATTTCAATGTCTGCTCTTTACATAAGATTATTCTAAATAATCCATATAACTGCACAATTTGAAACATACAAAGTTTAGTAATCTATCAGGAGGCTAAGCAAATGTCTTAATTTTTTATTTACTGCCATTTGCTCAGAAAATTATCCAGAATCCAGCAGATTACAGAATATGGCTGGTAATCTGACTTAATTCAGGCTGACTGGGCATTCCAATGCAATTTGAGTGCACCAGAATGGATGCTAACTTTATGAATCATATGTTCAAGAATTCTCATTTTAGAGGAAAGCAAGCAGGTTCTTTGGCGCCATTAACTCTCTTTGAACTCCATGTCCCTATAGGAAAAAGTACCCTGATTTTTATGTTTGTGATAACTGGTCACTTAAAATGATTCTGTGTTAAAAAGAACTGTCCTGGGGATCAACAATGGTTCTCCTAATGAGCATAGATATGTGGGGGGAGGGGAAGAGAGGCAAGAAATGAAATGTGTGTCAGAATGCTAAACACACAACTTGACATTTGTGTTAGTCATCAGAATACAAGTACCTAAAGCAATGTTTGTGTCATTATGCCACCGTGTATGTGTCATTTTGATGCTACCTCAGTTTGCTGCAGGTACCACTGCAATTAAGAGAGAGAAGTGACTTCAAGATGAGTTAGGGTTAAAAAGTATGTGGAAAAAGTATTCTCCTTGGTTACAGAAGGGTTCCAGTCTAGCTTCCATTCCAGAAGGCAACACTGTGGAATCACATTTTTTGTTCAATTCTAGACTTTGTAGGCATCTTCTGACTGACCAACCAGGAATTGCCAGAGGAGCCCCTCAGCATATAATGCATGAATACATATAAACCACGCTAGTATACTGGACTTTTAAAAGAGGGCAAGATCAGAACACCTTTTTTGTTTAAGCTTTCTGTTTCAGATCTTGAATCTTATTACAACCTATACGTTTTTGGTCAATTATTTCTTACTATTTGAAGCACCAGCTGTTCTCATTTCAGCTATATGTTTATAAAGATGAAACAAGCCAAAGTGTGGTAAAATACATGATTGAATTCATCTGCAGAAAAGTCACAGGGAAGCAGGTATGTCTTAGCAGCAGCAGCAGGAGGAAGCCCATCAGAGTAATTGCATGCACCTTCTAATGGCAGATTTACTCCCTAGGTATGTTTGGAGGAGGAATTTTCACAGCAGAAGGTTCCACTCCCCAGATCTCTCTGGCATATTCAGTAATTGTCCTGTCACTGGAAAACTTGCCGGAGCATGCAATGTTCTTAATTACCTTTTTAGTCCATTCCCTAGGATTCTAAGAAGAAATAGAAAGTGATTAGGCTGATATCTTCAAAGCTTTAATAGTAGAAAGATCATTTACTTTATTGGACAGCCAGCTCTTTCAGAAGTATAAATTCAAACCCAGAATTCAGAGCTTTCATTTTCTTGGAGCTGCAATAAACTTTAGCTCTGGATTCTCCTCTTTGTTGTCTACTCTCCCCATGGCCAGAGGGCCTTTGCACAGATTCACCTTCTGTGCTGATTTTACCCATTCCTGGACAGGGAGGCCTTACTCATGTTTTGGGCACTTTTCAGATGTGATAGAATATACACCTGGAGTATTAGTGGATAGGAATTTTGGCAACTCAGAGCTTTCCCAGAGAGGCCCAATTAAGAGTCTGCAGGGTCCTGAGCTGGATGGGGGTGGTGAGAGATTCAAAGTACCCACATCCTAGAATCTCTCAGGATATATCTAATAGGTTATATTAGATAGCTTTAATTAGACAAGATCCTGTCCATTAGGTATAAGCAAAGGATTAGACTCAATTGGATTTCACTGTGTTGTCTTTAATACAGCTAGACTACTGAAAAACGCCTTACGTGGGGATGCCCTGAAGAGTGCTTGGAAATTACAACTGCTCCATAATGTGGCAGAATGGGCTATGTTGGGTATATCTCAGTTGTATACATTATACCACTATCATGTGAGATGCATTGGCTCCCAGTTTCTTTCAAGGTGCAATTCAAGATGCTGGTTACTTGGCAGAGAGCCAGGTTATTTGTGGACCACTTCTCCCCAAGGGTTTCGTTTCCACCAAGCCAGATCAGGCTCCAGGTCCTTTCCCATTAATGTTGCCATCTAGTGGGACCAAGAAATATGCCCCCTCTGTAAGACCCCTGTTCTATGGGACACCTTTTCACCCAGGATCTGGCAGCCCCCTTTAATTATTTGGAAGTCCTCAAAGAGCTGGCTATCCCCAAGTGCTGGAATAAGCTAACTTGTGTATGCTAATGTATGTATGAACCATATGTACATCCTGACTACCCTTTGCTCACTCTTGGGATACAAGAGTTCTAGTTATAATTTCCAGTTATTTTATTAAGAAGCCATTCTTATCAATCTGCAACTGGTTTAAACTATGAGCAAAGTCTCTTACCATGTATAATTGGTCCACTTGCCCTTGACATTTGATGTAGGCTTCATAATCAGCAAATACTTTAAACCTAAACAAAGTACAGTATTAGTGCAACCATGAACTCCATTTATTTTGTTAATTGAGAGCCATAAGGAATCATTGGTAAATAAATATGTTGTAGCAGTGCTTTAAATAAGGCAAGCTTCGATGTGCTTTTCTTTTCCCTTTCAGAAGTTTAAGTGAGGCTCTCTCCTATGAGGGGTCTCTGAGCTTGCTTGTTTTCTTGCAGATGTGTCATTTCATCCTGAACTACAAATATTCTCCTTCATTAGCTCTTTCCTATGTAACACAATTTCAAAGGACTTTTTCTATGGCAGTTACCTCTCTGAGGATGCCTTAAGTCAGGATTGCTTAAGATAACCACAGGCTTCTGGTTAAGGGAGATGGTAAAGTTCCTGACATGGAATGCTAATGGCCTCAATTCCCCTCAAAAGAGAAAGAAAATTTATCATTATTTAAAGCAACATAATAATGACATTATTTGCTTGCAGGAAACACATATTACATCTAATGATCAAAAATATTTAGTTAATGCTCGTCTGGGATCCCATTTTGTATCTTCTGCTCCTGGGAAAAAAGGGGGAGTAGTTATCTATGTTAAGCAAAACTTATCAGCCTGTTTGGTAGAATCTGATCTTCAAGGGAGATATGTTATGATTGAAGTTGGTTTGTATGGTAAGAAAGTACTTATAGTGGGCCTGTATGCACCAAACCAACAACAGGAACAATTTTACAGACTGCTACATCAAAAATTAACTTTGTTGGATTACAGACCTGTTATATTAATGGGAGATTGGAATGGTGTTTTAGATACACAAAGAGATAAAAAAGGATCCTCTATTTCTTTTAAACAGGCTAAACTACCTAAAGCTTTTTTTGATTTGAAAGAGGACTGGGAGCTGCGAGATTATTGGCGTGAACATAACCTGGAGGAGAGAGATTTTACTTTCTTTTCGGATAGACATCAATCCTTTTCAAGAATTGATTTTTTTTTGATTACGACGGATTTATATTTTAGGGTAAAAAATGTTAAAAATTTTCCCAGGACATTGACGGATCACAGTCCAGTTTGGATGGAATTGGTTGATGAAAAAGAGGAGAGGAGATTGTGGAGGATGAATGAAAATTTATTTAGACAAGAAAAGAATGTTCAAAAGTTAAAGGAGCAATTAAAGGATTATTTTGCTTTAAATATGCATAAGGGAACTTCAATGTCAATGGTCTAGGATGCAGGTAAAGCCTACATGCGGGGGATTTTGATACAAATGAATAATGTTCATAGACAGAAGCAGATGCAGAAACGTAAGGAGTTGGAAGATGAGATTAAATTAAAAGAAAAAGCTTTGATTTTAAATCCTATAGATGAGAAGGTTAAGGAATCTATAAAATTGCTTAAATCACAATTTAATATGTTGATGGCTGATCAAACTGCAACTAATTTATTGTATATGAAACAAAACACATTTTGTAATGCTAATAAACCAGGGAGATGGTTGGCTTACCAACTGAGAAAGAAGCAGAGACAGAGAACTATAGATAAAATAAATTATAATGGTAAATTGGTACATCAGGAGTTGATTAAGAAATCCTTTTTAGATTATTACCAAAAATGATATATGAGTACTAAAGTACAGGTTTCAGATATAGATAATTATTTAAATGAAGCTAACTATCCTAAATTAACAGAAGATCAGAAACAAGAAATTAATGGTTTGATTACTAGTGAGGAGATTGAGACAGTAATTAAAGAATTAAAATTAGGTAAGGCACCTGGTATGGATGGTTTGACATCTATTTATTACAAAACATTGGTACAAGAGATGACTCAACCTTTAAGTGAGCTTTTTAATAATATATTACAGGGTTTAGAGATCCCTCTGTCATGGGGTAGAGCTTTTATATCTTTGATTCCAAAAGAAGATCAAGATCTCACCTTACCAAAGAATTATAGACCTATATCTCTCTTAAATGTAGATTACAAGATCTTTTCAAAAATTTTAGCCAACAGGCTTATGAGGGTTTTGCATCATGTAATACATATGGATCAAACGGGTTTTATAACTGGAAGGTACATGAAGAATAATGTCAGACAAATTATTAACTTATTAGAATATTTAGATAAAAATAATCAAGTTTCTGCAGGATTGATATTTTTAGATGCTGAAAAAGCTTTTGACCAGCTGAATTGGCAATTTATGTTAAGATTAATTGAGAAAATGAATTTTGGAGAAAAAATTTTACAAGCTCTTGGTGTTATTTATCAAAAGCAAACGGCACAACTTATAGTTAATGGGGGTTTGTCAGAGGTGTTTACAATAGAGAAGGGGACTAGACAGGGTTGTCCATTGTCACCATTGCTGTTTGTTTTAACTTTGGAAATATTGTTGATTAAAATTCGAGAATCACAGCAAATAAAAGGAATAGAAGTTAATAAAAAAGAATATAAATTAAGGGCTTTCGCAGATGACTTGGTGGTTACCTTAGCTCAACCTACTTATTCTGTAATAGAGTTATTACAATTGATACATCAGTATGGACAGGTTTCGGGTTTTAAAATTAATAACAATAAGACTAAACTATTGCCTAAAAATATGACTAATCTGGATAAGCAGACTTTGGTTAAGTTGACAGATTTTGAGGTTGTCAATAAGGTAAAATACCTGGGGGTTATTTTATCTGTTTCTAATGCAAAATTGTACAAAAATAACTATGAAAGGCTGTGGGTCAATATACAAAGAGATTTGGAAAATTGGGAGAAGTTGCAATTATTTCTTTTAGGAAGAATTGCGGCAATTAAAATGAATGTTTTGCCAAAGTTTCTTTTTTTATTTCAAATGATACCTATTTTAAAGAATGAGGTTAATTTAAATGAATGGCAGAAAGGTATTAACAAATTTATCTGGGCAGGGAAAAAACCAAGAGTAAAACTTAAAATTATACAGGATATTCGTGAGAGAGGTGGACTCAAGGTACCGAATTTGAAATTGTATATGATGCTGTGGTTTTAACATTAATAAGTGATTGGGTTAATTTAACAAATGTAGAAATACTCCTCTTAGAGGGTTGGGATTTACTTTTTGGATGGCATGCCTATTTAATTTTTAATAAAAAGGTTGATAGGGTCTTTAAATCTTATATTATAAGGATTTCTTTACTTTGGGTTTGGAGGAAATATTATAGAAGTGATTTTAAAATTCCATTATGTGCTATACCGGGGCATGCGATTGAAGGGATAAGGAGAGGAGTTAAGATGGATAGCGTTTCTTATGCACAACTACTTAGATGGGATGGTAAAAACTGGCAATTAAAATCTTTGGAAGATTTAATACAAGAAAATATTATTTACTCATGGTTTCATTATAGACAAATAGTGGAGAGGTGGAAGATAGATCATAATGTGGGTTTCCTTAAAGAAGATGAGAATTTATTAAAACAAATAAAAGATCAAAGACGAACCCATATTAAGAGAATTTATGGGGTGTTAGTAGAATTGGATTCAGAAGTAGAATTAGTTAAAGAATGTATGGTTAAATGGGCACAAAATTTTGATGAACCGGTTCTATTAGATACTTGGGAAATTATTTGGGTGAGGAATGTTAAATTTACACAAGCCCAAAATTTAAGGGAAAATTTTTACAAAATGTTTTATAGATGGCACCTTGATCCACAAAAAATGTCTCGTATGTATCCTGACTTACAGCCTAAATGTTGGAGATGTGGATGTTTGGATGCTACTTATTATCATATCTGGTGGTCATGTAAAAATATAAAAGCTTTTTGGATTAAGATATGGTGGAATATTCAAAGAATTTTTAGAAGAAGGGTAAAATTTACTCCACAACTGTTTTTGTTAGGTATTGTTTCTGATTGTGATACTAAAGAGACTATATTGATGTTAAATTTAATCACAGCGGCAAGGTTGTTAGTAGGGCAATGTTGGAAGAAGGAATCTTTGCCTACCTTGCAAGAGTGGTTTTTTAAAGTTTCTTATTTGGCGGAAATGGCAAAGATTTCGGCTTTCTTGAAAGACCAATCGCAAGAGAAGTATTTTTTGGTATGGAAAAAATGGATAGACTTTATACAATATAAGTTGGATATAAAAAAATATTATTTAGCTTTTCAATAACTTATACTTAAAATTTAAGATATTTTATAGACTTTTTTCCTTTTTCTTTCTTCCTATTTTCTCGTATTTCCTTGTATTTTTGTTTTTTTTATACATATATTATTGTTAACTAGTTTACAATTTCTTTAATTAATGTATTTAGATTTGTTTATGGTTTATATTTGTTTTAAGACTTTTTGAAAAAATATTAATTAAGCCTGTATTCAGCTCTGGGAAGGTCGGGGGAGGGATGGGAGGGTTGGGGGGGGGTTGGGGAAGGGAACCGTATTGTTTTGTAAAATTTAAAAATTTTCAATAATAAAAAAAAAAGATAACCACATTATTTCATTAGTTGACTAATTTCACTGCATTTTTCTCTCTCTAAATTTCAAATATCTTTTAAAAATAAAAAATATGTCCAAAGAACAACTCATGACCAGAATACCATTTGGTTAGACTACAGTAATGTGCTGTATTTGGGGTTGCCTTTGGAAGTGACTTGAAAGCTACTGCCAATTCAAAATGTGGCAGCAAGGCCATTGATAGGCTAACTCTATGAGAGTAGAATTACTCCTATCTTAAAGCTGCTGCATTGGCTGCTGGCTTCCTTTTGAGCCAATTCACACCAAAAAGGAATAATCCAGGGTGTGTATGTTATCAGTAAAAAGTGTGTCATGTCCCTGGGTTTACAATATATAATAGTCTTCCCCAATATGGTATGCCTCCAATGAGGAACTGCAGTTCTTGTACCTTTCAGCAAGTATAGCAATTAATATTATGGCTGGGGAGGTTGGAAGTGATATTCGAACCCACACTGAAAACATTAAAAGAAAGTCCATAATAAAAGTACACTACTGCTGCCTCTTACCTGTCATGATACATCAACATATTGACGACATCATGGAAACAACTAGGATCATTCGGTGAGAAGAAGCCACTGTTTATTTGATCAATAACTTGTCTGAGTTCTGGAATCCTGTCATAGTATTCCTTAGCATTGTACCTGAACAAGAAAAATAGGGAACACCCTTAGCCTTTTCTGCTTCTATTATTATTTATTTCTTGCATTTACATCCCATCGTTTCTCTTGGAATAGAAGGCGATATACACAAGGGTTTCCACAATGAGCGAAGAGTGGCTGAAAGTGAGTGCCATGTGGTAGAGACTGCTCCATTATCAAGGAGGACTTTAAATTCAACACTTTAGCCACTACATGATATTGGCTGTAGGGCAATACTCACCCAGGCAACCAAATTATAGGTGAGTTTGAAATAATACAGAAGACAGACTTAAGATGTCAAACTAAAAGGCTATTGGTAGATATTAATTCTTAATAAAGGGATGATCAGTATTGGATCTTTTATAATTTATGAGGAGTAATTTGTATAAATTACAAGCTATTTCAAAAACATTCCTATTTTTGATAAAATGAGTATGTAAGCTCTTTTCTATGCTATAGCGAGCTCTTCTTATATTAATATAAATGGAAAACAAGAGCTGTGTCCGCCTGTGTAACCCAATCTTTCTATGACAAGGATGCTCCATTTCCTGAAGCAGTTTTCAATGACTGAATTTTCTAATTCAGAGAAATTAGAGAAATCTCCTTGTCAAAATAGAACTGAATTCTGGCTAATTCCTTTAGGTGAGGCTTCATTTTGAGGAAGCTCAGGACAACTTTCCTGCTGGTTCAAAGAATCAATCACATACCCATAGCCTGTTTCTATGGCATCTTCACCATGGTGTTCATTTACAAACCTTTTCTTATCCATTGCCTCAACGTCATCCACCCGCATGCCAAAAATGAACAGATTATCCTCTCCAGCTTCTTCAGCCATTTCCACATTGGCCCCGTCCATGGTCCCAATGGTGAGGGCTCCATTCAGCATGAATTTCATGTTTCCTGTCCCTGAAGCTTCAGTCCCAGCTGTTGAGATCTGCTCAGATAGATCTGCAGCAGGAATCACTGGGGTGGATTGGGGAAAGAGAAATAGGTAAAACTGTATTTTTCCCCTCTATAAACAAACCACTTGTATCTGCACTAACATGAGCAAGCCTTGTGTGGTCTAATTTTACTGTTCTGAGTAAACCAAGCAGCTCAACATCCTATGTGTTTGCTTCATTGATGCAGCTGTATTGGCATACAGGACTATACTTATACAGATAGTCCTCAACTTACAACAGTTCATTTAGAGACCATTCAAATTTACAACATCAATGAAAAAAGTAACTTATGACCATTTTTTCACAGTTACAACCTTTGCAACATCCCCATGATCATGTAATCCAGTGGTTCTCAACCTTTTTAATACCGCGACCCCCAACCGGTCGTAAGTCGAGGACTACTCAACCGGTTGTAAGTCGAGGACTACTCAACTGGTGCAGCACCGTTTGCAGAATGGGACTTTTGGCGGGCTCAGCAGGGCAGAGACAGCCTGGACAATTCCTATTGGCTTTTGAAAGCCAATAGAATTAGACTCTATTCAAGAGAGTCTATTCTATTGGCTTTCAAAAGCCAATAGAATAAAAGGGAGTAGCACAGCTAAGGAAAAGGGGAAAAAAAATGGCGGACTCGTTGTTTGGCGACCCCCATGAAATGGTTGTTCGACCCCAAATGGGGTCCTGACCCACAGGTTGCGAACCACTGATGTAATCGAATTTCAGATACTTGGTAACTGGTTCATAGTTATGATTGTTGCCTTGTCCCAAGGTCATGTGATCACCTTTGGCGACCTTCGGACCAGCAAAGTCAATGGGGAAGCCAGATTCACTTAACAATCGGGTTACTAACTTATCAACTGCAGTGATTCACATAACAATTGTGGCAAGAAAGGTTGTAAAATGGGGCAAAACTCACTTAACATATGTCTCACTTAACAGAAATGATGGACTCAATTGCGATCATAAGTTGAGGACTATGTGTACCTCTGCATCTGGAAGGGACATATTTTTTTGCACGAGGGCCAGTCAGCCATGGCCTCACAGTATGCAACTCTTTAAATGTGACTTCCAACAGCCTCAATTAGCAACAGCCATAAACAAGGTACCCAAGAAAAGACACATCAGCAGAATCTGGAAAGGCACAATTTGTGCACTAACCTAGGCCAGCTTGCTTCCAAAACCAACTTACCTTTTTCAGCAAGTGACACTCTGTAGTTCTCCAAGAATATGACTTTGAGTCTATCTCCCACGTAAGGGTCATTATTGATGACTTCTCCAATGGCTGTGATCAATCTGATAATCTTTTTTGCCATGTGGTAGCCTGGAGCTGCCTGGAGGAAAAGAAGGAAAGACATTTTAAGAGTAAAAAAAAAAAAAAAAAAAAGATAGAAAATCACAAAGCAAATGAGTATCAAAATATAGATCTAGATTTCTTAATAAAAACCCTCTCTTTAGAAGTTATTTAAAAGCCTCCATCACAAGAAGCTTTTAAGAAGAGACTGGACAGCCACTTGTCTGGAATGCTATAGGGTCTCCTGCTTGAGCAGGAGGTTGGACTAGAAGATCTCCGAGGTTCACCCCCAACTCTGTTATTCTGTTATTATTCTGTTGTTATTATTAAATAGGAAGCCATCTTTTGAATTTATCAGCTGAAATACCTAATTCCCCAAAAGAATATCACAAATTGATATACGTGAACACTTCTATAAATAAAATCAAAGGAAGCTTTGACCTATCCCAGTAGAGCAGGGGTTCCCAACTGGGGGTGCTCACATCCCCTGGGGGTGCGAGACGGTATTCCAGGGGGTGCAAAAACCTAGGTTTAGAAGTTCTAACCAGGTATTACCTTTGTAAGGGGTACAAGAATATATCAGAAGCGTTCTAGGGATGCGGGATATAGAAATGTTTGGGAACCACTGCAGTAGAGACTCCCATAGATATGCCTTTTTGTTCTTAATCTTTGCTGAGGTTTGCAACGCGTAGATACCTTAAATAAGTCCACATCACAAAGGGAATTGTCCATTTCCCGAAGTTCTTATTTCAATATGCTAAGTTTCCAAGTAAGTTTCCAGTGTGTTTGAATCACATGAGGAAGCAAAAGAATACTGAGCATGAGTAGTTCTTACTTTTGCATGCTTAAATAATTCACATTTTAACATAAAGGTGAAGTGTGAAGGCAGGCAGTGATGGGTGGGAGGAAGAAATTTATACATGGTCTTAAGCACTAAGAAGTAAGCTTAGCTTCACATTGAAATCCTTTACCTTTCCTCCAATCATAACTGTTCTTGGCACATAAGATTTTTTAGGGTCCTTTCTGATGCCTGAAAAAAGCAATACAATTAAGATGGGGGAGAATGATTTTTAAAATGGATGACTTTTAAAAAGAAAAAAACTAACAAGAAAATAATTCAACAAACTTGCTTTCTGTGACCTCTGTAATTCCTATCCTAAGGTAAAAATATCATTGAGGAAACATAGCAATAGAATGACGTAAAGCAGAGGACAAATCTATAGAATTCGTAATTTCGGGAACCTTTATAATATTGGTCAGGAATAATAGTGTGCCATTTGTTGCATGGATACAGTATTAAGATCAATGAACAATCTCTGTTGGCAGCAATATTTATACAAAGAGCATATTAATGCTGTACAATTGTTTTTGGACTTTATTATCATAAAGTAAAACAGGAAGAATCCAAATTTAGGAAATGTAAAGCTGAGTCATTCAGTCTAGCACTGGGTTCAGAAAAGTCAATCACTCTGCTTGTTGATCAGCTTCTGCATATACTGTAACCATAACACAGAAGAAAAGTCAGTGTTCTTCAAGCAGATCTTTGGGGTTTCAAGAGGAAATACATCTTTCCATCTGTTAATAGAGATTTTGATCTCATCAAGCTTTCAATTATGTGTACACAATTAGGCTCAGGTTCCTGAATATGCTTCTAACAAAGGCTAGTTTCCGGGAATCTCAATCTCAAACTTGCTGGAATATTATATATAAAAGGACATGGCTGCTCTACAAATATATGCCTACCTGCATGCACGCGCACACAGAGACACACAGACACATATACTCCCACAATCTCTTCAGATTACAAGTGTATTTCTGCTTGCTTTCCAAATCCTCCTTTCATATAGACATATTTTTTCCATACTGATGTAGGAATATTATTGTTAATGTTATCTAGAAGGATTAAAAGCTTTGATGCTGGTAAAGACTCACGGTTATAGAGAGTGATTATATGTAGGCAATTGAGGAGCTGCCTCTTGTATTCATGAATTCTCTTGACGTGCAGATCAAACATAGAGGATGGGTTAATTTTCACTTTGTATTGTTCTTCTAAGTACGCTGAGAACTTCAGTTTGTTCTCCTGGCAAAAGGACATTTTAGGTTGATCTCAGAAAGTTTAAACAGACATTCAACTCAAGCATCTGGGCTAAATGGAATTTAGAAAAAGATACTATCTATTATATAACAGAAATATAGTTTTGCTAGGAGGTAGAATGCAAATGAATATAATAAATAAACGCAGTTAGCTAGGTAGAGATAGGTGGTCCTTGATTTACAACCACAACAGGGACTGGAATTTCCATCCTAAGTTGTTAAAGTCATTAAGTTGAGTTGGACTTGATTTTATGGCAATTTTAATGCATTTTTTAAGCAAATCTCCATGGTTGTTTAGTGAATCACACCTTCCTAATGGTATTTTTTTTGTCAGAAATTGGCAAAAAAAGGTTGCAAATCACAATAATGTGATTGCAGACTTCTGCAACTGGTTGTAAATGTGACCCAAATGCTAAGCACCCAAATTATGACCCAAATTATGACTGCAAGAATAATATGATAGTCGTATTTGTGATTATAAGTTATAAGACATATTTTTCTGAGGCCACTGTAATTCACTGTGAGTTGAGAGGTTATATAAACTTGTTTAATAAAGAAAACTTCGAACAGTTGTTAAACAAATAGTTGTAAAGTGAGGAGGATAGATAGATAGACAGACAGACAGACAAACAGATAGATATGATATAGATAAACATGTCTGTTACAATCATTACCTGTTTGACTTTGGCTACATCCCTGATGAAGGCTTCATCATTGACAAAATCCAGCAGCTTCTTTAGCTGGCTAAGATCAGTTAGGAAATCTTCCCCAAGTCTCTGTATATTAAGGGAACAAAAATTATAATTAACAGCAAAACTGATATATTTTTCACAGCTGAATTCTTCTATTATTATATACATTTCCCGCTGCTAACAGTCACATACAGTGGCAATGTTGTGACACTGAGATGAAATGTGGCTCATTCTTCTAGGTCAGTGGTAGCGAACCTATGGCACGGATTCCAGAGGTGGCACTCAGAGCCCTCTCTGTGGGCATGCGTGCCGTCACCCCAGTCCTAGGCCTTCAACTGGGTTTTATAAAACCTTTTCGCTTTAGGCCTCCGCTACCATGTGCAAAAAAAAAAAAAAAAAAGTTTAATCAATCAGTCAATTTCAACTTCTCTCAGGAAAAAAAATCTTGCAAAGTTGGAATTGATTGATTGAACTTTTTAGTCCCACCCAGTCTGCCGTTACCACCGCAGCCAAGCCCACCCAATGGGCCACACCCACCCGGCACTCGACGATGCATAAGTGGTTTTGGGTTGCAGTTTGGGCACTCGGTCTCTAAAAGGTTCGCCATCACTGTTCTAGGTCTTGTTGACAATTAACAGGCTAATTTAGGACTAACCACTGACTTGGATTCTGGATGTAATACAAGATGATTCTGCAGAAATGGAAACGGATAGAGAAAAAAAGGAAAAAGCAGCTTCTTTATCCTCTGCCTTGGTAAAAAAAAAACTGCTTCCCCTTTGGTGTCAAATATTCATCTAATGTCCATTCTCTGAGAGGATCCACTGACAATTACAGTATTTGAGCAATCTATTTGGGAGAAGGCATTTGGAGTATATATTTGGAGTAACAATGCTAACTAACTGACTTGTTTTTATAAATATTCGGGTGGATAAATGCTAATAACAATAATATTAATTATTGTTATTTTCATGATCAGCCAACACAGACTTAGAGGTTAGGCCCTCTGCTTAAACTTTATGTTTCAAAGGAAATCTTAAGTAAAGAGAAGTTACACTCTACGTGATACAAAGTTGAACACGACTTTCTGCAAATCTGAATGCAGGCTTATTATTTATCTTACTATATTCAAAATCATACTCCTGCCAGTCACCATACTCTTATACTGTACTCTAGAATCTTCCTAAGTATCAGACCAGGTAGTCTGTAGTTTGCGGTCTTCTTTTCCCCCTCTTTTTGAAGACAGGGATAAATAACCTTTGCTTCCTTCAAGTCATCTGGCGCTTCATCAGACCCAACCAAATATTTCTACAAGCATTTCCTGTTGGCTGATGAGTCTTGTATCTTACCTCTACAATGACTTCAGAGAGTCCTGGGTTACACAGTAGAAGCCATCGCCTGGGAGTTATACCATTGGTTTTGTTTTGAAATTTTTCTGGCTCTACCTCGTAGAAATCTTTGAATCTACAATGTATATGGGTGAATTTTAAAAAGAACAGAATGTAATATATATTATTTGGAGCCAGTTGATACTACAAATTCTTTAGCAGCTCAATGCAACCATTAAAAAAGAGAATGCAGTCATGGGATGCATTAATGAAAAGCCAAGTCTAATCCAGATCTTAAGTAATGCTAGTTCTGCTCTGATCCACATACACCAAAGCATTTCTGTTCTGTTCCACTGACAAGATGGAAGCAATTTATAATCTCTAGATATTCAGGGCTAAATCCCAAAAATACTTTGCAACAGAGCACTGAGTGATAGAAACTGAAATGCAAATCACCTGGAAATCACTAGATTAAATGCCCCTGAAACGGGATTATGCCTAAGAAATGTATCAAGGTGAAGAAATATCTGGGAAATAGGTCATAAAAGGAAAGCTTGCAAGTGCTGGAGAAGAAAAGATTAAGGTGAGACATGATAACCAATGGATGAAACAGACAAGTTCTCTATACCTGGCAAAAGATAGGATGTGATGAACTTTAACATCCTTTTAAAATTCTGTCTGTATAAATGGGGAAACACTGTCTGGATTAAAATAATACTTAAGAATACCAGAGAAAGGACTATATTAAATCCCTTTTCTAGACTTATTAGTTTTCTATATGTGGGGGGAGTTTTTTCTCATGTAAATGTATACCTGAAATGCAAATTCAGGAAACCAATTTGTGCTGACCACAAACTTTCTTTCTTTCTTTCTTTCTTTCTTTCTTTCTTTCTTTCTTTCTTTCTTTCTTTCTTTCTTTCTTTCATAATTTGTTGAATCTCAATGTCTCTAATTTGTTCTCTTACTACTACCTAAGCATTTCTATTTTCCAGGCTATGTATAAAATGAATAAAATCCTTTTAATAAAAAAAAATCAATTTGGAAGACAGCAGATATGTATGAAAAGGAACGGCATTGACTGCTTCTTAGTCTATGAAGAACACCAGGGCAGACAGCTTACTTACAACTAAGTAAAAGAAAAACAAGCAGGACTCACACAGAATTCTTCACAATCTCCGAGTGAATCTGAGCCACTCCATTGACTGCATGAGAACCAATGACACACAGGTGGGCCATATTGATCCTCTTGCAGTCTCCTTCCTCAATCACAGACATCCTTCGGAGGCGGTCAACATCTCCAGGAAAGAGGGAAGCCACATACTGACAGAATGTACAAAATGATAGGAATGTTAGGAATGCAAGCTAAATCATATGTCATAATGAATTCTTTTAAATTGAAAAACATGAACACATCCTTACTGGTCTTACCAAATACCCCCCTGCATTTTTTTTAAAAGAGTATCACCATCCTCCTGAGACTCCAGCTCCATCAGAGTTTGACACCCATCGTTTAGCACTCCTGAACTGTTGCAAATGCAGAGTTTGAATACTGTACCCTCTAACAAAAGACATCAAGATCTATCTAAACAAGAATGGTATCAGTGACAGCAAAAAAGATATGTTAGGCTATACTAACAAAAATATCCTTAAATATATTTACATGGTCAATTCATCAGTTTCTAAGCCTAACAATTTTAGCAGAGCTATGTAGGCTGCTGCTTTCCAGACGTTTGGTACTGTCAGCAGCTGTCAGAATCCAATTATATTTCATCTTTAATTATCAAACATAGAAACTCCCAATTCTGCCTTCTCTGGATTCTGCCATAAGAGGGAGAAAAGGGGGAGAGCAAAGGGGCTTTATGGCCCTCACTTCCTTCAGCACACTTCAAAGGACTGAATGTGTGTTTATTGTGGCCTCTAAGCTTTAACATATCAAAGAAGAGTAATTGCCTTTCATGTAGTTATCTGAAGTCTCCATCCAGACGGAAGAAGAAAGGGGATGGAATTGTGATACTTGAAACTATCACTGGAAGGGGGGTTGATTGGGTGGGACTACTGGGGAACCCCTTAAAACCTTGAATGGGAGAGCTTGAACCCCAAGTCCTGTCTAGCATGCCTGCAACCATTTTCTCTTAATAAAGGATTCCTGTTGGAAGAGCTATTCCAAGAGTTCTGTCTTCTTAAGATGCAAAGTGGGGTGGGTCCTTACATTAGACAGGACTTGGGGGTCCTTACAGCAGCAGTGAATTGGAGGCACTGTAGCACAAGAAATATGAAGGTACCAGATGGATGACTGATGTTGTTTTACTGATCATGGTAAGACCACACGGATCTGAACCCTAAATATGATTAATTCTACCCATGCTATGATTCTACCCACTTGCTAGAGCTGAGAACTAGCTCTTTGCTATGCAGCAAGGTGTCCAGAGTGAGTTCAACATGGCATACAAAAGGATAGCTAAACAAATTCAATAAAACTGCTAAGTTGGTATTATTTTAGAGGATGTGAATTTGGTAAAACAGATTAAAGATCAAAGTCGATTTCATATAAAAAGAATTTATAATGCTTTAATAGAATTGGACTCTGAAACGGAGTTAGTTAAAGATTGTATGATTAAATGGGCGCAAAATATCCAAGAGCCAATTTTATTGGATACATGGGAGACAATTTGGGTTAGAAATGTAAAATTTACTCAAGCACAAAATTTAAGAGAAAATTTTTATAAAATGTTTTATAGATGGCATTTGGATCCCCAAAAGTTGTCCCGCATGTATCCGAAATTACAGCCCAAATGTTGGAGATGTGGAAATTTAGATGCAACTTATTTTCATATTTGGTGGACTTGTAAAGATATTAAAGCTTTTTGGATTAAGATTTGGTGGAATATTCAAAAGATTTTTAGGAAAAAGATAAAGTTTACTCCACAATTATTTTTGTTGGGTATTATTGTAGATTTGGATGTTAAAGAAACTAATTTGATGTTGAATTTCATAACTGCTGCAAGATTATTGGTGGGGCAATATTGGAAGAAAAACTTATTGCCTACTTTGGAAGAATGGATACTTAAAGTGTCCAATTTAGCAGAAATGGTGAAAATCTCCGCCTATTTGAAGGATCATTCACAAGAAAGATATATTATGGTTTGGAGAAGATGGATTGATTATATTCAGAAGAAATATGAAACTGAAAAGTATTATCTTGCTTTTGAATAGATTTTAGATAATTATTAATAGTGTTAATGGTATTATTATTTTTGTCTTAATTTGTTAATATTTGTTTTGAGAAGGAGTTAAAGTGTATTATGGTTTTGATTGATAGTTTAGTTGGTTTATGTTAGCTAGAGTATGTTTGTTTATTTGTTACCCTGTAATCAGCTCTGGGAAGTGGGGGAGGGGGGAGGTGATGGGTGGGTTTATATTGTAATTTGTAAAACTTTTAATAAAAAAAAAATAAAACTGCTAAGTTTGATGCATTTTATTATTCAACTACAAATCACAAATTACATCTCTTTTGGTTTGCTATTAGATATCTCAGCAAGCCTCATTTGATGCTAGGGTCACATACATTAAGCATCTATTACCTGCCAAAATAATATTCTAAGCCACACAAAATGAAAAAAAATATTTTTGAAATTGCCATATTCTTACAAGATCATCAAAACTCTGAGGATTTTAATGACTTCCCATGAGGTTAGTGAAATCTTATGAGAGCACTAAGACTTTGCAATATCTTGAGCCTTCCCTTCTTTTCTCTGGGCCACTGTGTGAGATCAGAAAACTGTCTAATAGCCAACCTCTGGTATCCTCTCTCTGCCTCTCCCAAGTCCCTTTTTTTCTCATTTAAATAACTTACATCCAAATGCTTTTGGTTGATAGCATAAATGATCTCCAGGTGCCTTGGCAGGAGCTTTTCAAACATAGACACCGGCCAGCGCTCCAGGGCTTCAGGCAGCACTGTATGATTGGTGTATGCACAGGTTCGTTTTGTGATTTCCCAGGCCTAGAATCAAGGACACAAATGAATTAATGTGAGTAGAAGCAAGTTGTATAGGCTGAAAATAAGTGGTTGTAATATCAAATAGCATTAATTTCCGATACTTGCCATGGAGGTTACATTGATGCTGAGTTGAAACTTATCAGTTGCAGCCTCATTATTAATTAAAAAGCATATTAATGAAACTTGAAATTCAACTGATGATAGTACTTGAACTAAGCAGGGAGCTTGAAGTATTATACAGCAGTTACCACATATAGAATCAAAAACTGTCTCTGTGTCCAGTTGTTTTGGCATGCAATGCCCTGTAGCAGCATCCCAAGGGGAGGAGTTGAGACAGTTTATGTCCAGAATGTGAGGGGTCTGTAGATATTTTTTTTCTGCCCTCCCTTTGACCCATGCAATACTCAGGTCCTCAATGGAAGGCAGCCAGGTTGCAGTTATTTTTTCTGCAGCCCCAATTATCTGTTGATGTCTGTGCCTGTCCTGTTCGGTTGCTGCACCAAACAAGACAAATGACAGATTCAATAATAATTCCTCTGTAGAATTGTATCAACAGATCCTGGGGCAGTCTGAATTTTCTGAACTGACACAGGAAGAACATTCTTTGTTGTGCCTTTATGTAAGGTGTCCATTTCAAATTCTGGGAGATTACAGAACCTAGAAACCTGAAGGTCTCTACTATTGATACTGCTTGTCTAGTATAGTAAGAGGTGGTAGAATAGGAGGGCTCCTCCTACAATCCACTTTCATCTCTACAGTTTTAAACATGTTCAGCTCCAAATTGTTCCGGCTGCACCACAGGGCCAATTGTTCAATGTCCTGTCTACATGCAGACTCATCACCATCACGAATGAGACCAATGACTGTTGTGTCATCGGTAACTCTAAGAATCTAGCTTCTCACCATCCCGTCTAGGAATTTTGGAAAATGCAATCCCATGATATCGGGGGGGGGGGGGGGAGAGAAATCAAGTTGAAGGAGGAGGACCTCTTGGCAGTTTCTGAAAAAACTTGTTGGGGATCAAAGCTACGTCTTTCCTGCCTCCCACTCAACTCTTACCTTTTCCCAATCCATATGTTCCACATCAACAAAGATCCTCATGAGCTCAGGAATGGAGAGAGCTGGGTGAGTGTCATTTAGCTGAATGGCAACCTGTGAAACGGACAACATAAATTTTAATAGAGGACCTCCAAGGTTCCTTCCATCATCATTAGTAGTATTTTTAATACTATTATTAATATTATTATTAAAATCTCCATTAATTCCATCCAGAAAAAGCCCAGTGAGTCCATGGAGCACAATGGAAAACCTGATTTCACTGTATGCTGATGGCCATTTGGTGATCCCAGACCAGCTACTCTAAATTTCAATTCCTAGATATAAACAGGAAACAAAATTAAGGACTCTGGGGCAACTACAGAGTTTAGTCATACATAATCTGGTCAGTGGCAATGTCTTGGACTTGATATTTTCAAGTTTTAAAAAATAAACTTTTAATCCCTATTAAAAGTAAAGAAACAGAAAATATGTTAAAGAAGTATTTAGGGCTGCTACTTAGAAGCTTTTTTCAATTGTTCATTCATTCCAAGAACATAATCTACCAGACTCCCAGTCTGTCCTTTTTTTCCTGCTCTTATGAAACCATATCTGTTCACTTTTCTAAAGATCTTAGCTATTCTTTCCAAGCTGTCACAACAGGAGAATATAATAACATAATAAAAATGGCACACAGAATTTCTTTTGAAAAGAAAAACCAAATCATTCAGTTATGGAAATTGGAGGAAGATGAAAATTAAAACAGGTAAAATAGGTTATCCAATGTTCACTACTGGTATTTATTGCTGAATTTGTGTTTTGTGAATGTGATACTGTATTGCAGACAGTTTCACAAATCCCTTCATATTCATGATAACCAACTCATAAGATCTAAGACAAAAATGATTGTAAAATCTATAAAATCTGATTAAATCTATAAAATATTCTGGAAGCACTTGCTAATATGGGGATTATTAATAATTTGTTGTCACTAAGTAATTAAACATCATGGTATTAAATAACAACAAAAATAAAAATAATGGCATAATTCTATGCATACCACTAACAATACTGTAAAGATCAGTCCAACAGGACTTAGGACTGATGGAAGAGATTCTAATGTTGAACAACATTCTCCTTTTACTTTTCTTAACATTAAAAGACTACCCAACATTGTCTGAGACAGAGAAAGGTATTCTTTAAAATTAAAATTTATTTCACAGATTTGTATAAGCTCTCATCTCACCTTGTCGGGAAAGGTTTCAAAACAAGTCCTCACTGGGTCACGACATCCAAATTTGGAAGACTTGAATCGTCGTATGATGTCCTGGAGAGTGGCAGCTACCACAAAGTACTCCTGTTTCAGACGCAATTCCTTTCCTTCAAAAAACTTAGAAACACAGTGAGGAAAGGGGGTTATATTAGACTATGTCTAATAATGGCAATGATTTGAGGGATTGTAAAAATCAAGCTCCTTTCCAGAGTGAAAAAGATGAGAGGGACTTCGCCTATAAGGTTTAATCTTCAGTGGTTTCTCTATCTCAGGTTCATATTTTATATAAAAATCAGTCTTCTTTTAATAAGTTTTTACAGAGGACAAACACTCACAGTTGCAGTTTATAAATCAGCACTGATCCCAAGAATGTGGAAAACCTCTTAATTTCTTCTGAAAATAAATGGGACTTTAAGGACACTTAATTCTCTCTGCATTGTATTATCCAATGACTTGGGTTTAGTCCAATAAATGTAAAAATACTATCTGAGCAGAGATGTTACTACAAAGTGCTATGTATATTGTGCTGATCCTGAATGAAATTCATTCAAAACAACTGAGGAGAGAATGCAGGAAGACAGAACTAAGGAAAATTATACCGAATAAATGCACGCAAGCTAAACATCACTTGTGCCTTTCACATAATTTTCACTCTCCTACTATACCCTCTGTATTTCTCCTTCCACCAGGAGTGGTGTTTTGAAGATGGCGAGAAGTTCATTGAAGAAGTGGAAACTGGAGACTCCCACCCAAAATACACAAACACATAACTTCTCTTAAGACAGTCAGCAGAAAAGCAGCCAAATGAAGCCCACAATTCACTTGTGGCCAAAAGAGATCTAATGAAGCACTTAAAACTGTACACTGCACAATGCAGCAGATACTTACATTATCATTGGGGTACAATACTCTGGATATGTTTTCTGCTAGGTTTCTATCCAACACAGCTTCGATATAATCACCAACATTAACTATGGAAGAGAATGAAGATACATCTCAACAGTTATATCAATGAAATGAAATACTCTGTATGTGTTTATCACTACACAGCAGTCACTTCATAACTTCTCCTTACCCTTTACCTTTGTTCACTGAGGTTTTCAAAAGTTTCAACTTGTAATTCATATCCTGTTTACAAATTCAACAGGAAAAATTCCAGGTTGAATTTATTTTAAATGTGAAGTAAATACCGTGTTTCCCCGAAAATAAGAGCAAACTGGAAAATAAACCGTAGTATGATTTTTTTAGGACGTGTGTAATATAAGCTCCATCCCAAAAATAAGCCCAGTTAAGATCGTCAGCCAGATGGACACATTTAGTACCGTATTTCCCTGAATATAACCAGAAAATAAGCCCTAATGTATCTTATTTTCAGGGAAACACGGTATATGGATTCTTTGCTCACCTGTCTGTATAACTGTCAAGAGTGTAAGCTGCCTTACTCTGGAATTGGTTGATTTCACCATCTTTTTTATTTTGGAAAAAATAATGGACTGTACATTTCAAAGGAGGTATGTAAAAGACCTCTCAGTTTTCAGTACATCAGGTAATTAGTGCGGCTTGATTTCAGAAGTTAAATGAATCTTTCTTCATTGTGTTTATCTATCATGACCTATTCTCAGGAAAAAAATAAAAGGAATACCAGTCACCAAATGGTTGCTTTGCACACATTTTATTCAATTTACTGGATGTGTAATTTTTGTTTCTTAACAAAAACAGAAGTTTGGTGCATGGTGACTAGAATTTAACACTTTATTCCTTCATTGCCCCTTTTAAATTCTCCCTCTCCAAACCACTCAGCTGCAGAAAAGAAACTGCTTTTAGCGCCAATAACCAGCTTCCTTTCTTTTGTGGATAACAGAGTGGGGAAGCGGATTTTTATCAGAACTAGGACAAGGGGTAAAGAATTACGAGTCTCTTATGAACCAGATTTCTCTTTTTGATTTTTCTCATTATTTGAGATAAAAATATAGTTCTTTTGCACATATACACATACATTCTATAAGAATAGAAATAGATAAATTGGTCTCAACTATATGTTCTATTAAGATTTCCTTGATTATTTAGCTGTCCCTTAAACATATTTACAAAGTATATAGACACTTTCTGTTACACATGCTTAGATTCTAAACAGGTAATGTGTATGTATGAAAGACTTTAATATAGAATAGAATAAGAGAATAACAGGATTGGAGGTAATCAAACCATAATCAAGCCCACAGATTGTCCGTTTCTCCCGTTTCATGTGGGGACAAATGATACAACAAAGAACCTGAAATAACAAGAGACTATGAGAGCAGTTAGGCATGAAAGCGAAAGAGGTAGGAGCACAGATACTATTTCCCATCCTCTGTACTTTAAACAGAAGGTCAAATCCAATGAGGGAATGGAAGGTTTTAAAAGTAAACTATTGGCTTGAGGGATGATGCTGTTAAGAGAACTTTAGATTCCTAGATCATGGTCTAGATTACCTACATGAAGGGCTTCTGGAAGGGGATTGGCTACATCTCGCAAGAACCAGGAAGAGTATCTTTGGAAAATAACTGGCTCAGCTTATCTAAAGGGCTTTAAACTAAATTGGAAAGGGAGGGAAACCAGTCCTTAGAATGTAATCCCAAACATAAACCCCAAGATATCCAATCAAACTATGAGGTAGGTAGTGATCAGAAGGAAGGGGAACTCAGATATAAAGCAGGAGACGGGGGGGGGGGGAAAATGCAGGAACAGCCATAAAGACTTAGATGCCTATATACTAATGCTCAAAATATAAGGAATAAACAGGGCAAACTTGAATTTAAATATCCCAAAGGTACTTTTTCAGGAGGCAACTGGACTTTCTTGTTTTTCCTTTGAAGATGTTTTGCTTCTCATCCAAGAAGCTTCTTCAGCTCTGACTGGATGATGGGGAAAGAAAAAACAAGAAAGTCCATTTGCCTCTTGAAAAAGCACCCTTGGGACAACCATGACCTGGATGATTGAGAATCTCCATAGACATTTGAATATGAAGAGCCGAGGTGGCGCAGCAGTTAGAGTGCAGTACTGCAGGCCACTTTAGCTGACTGTATTCAGCAGGTCAGCGGTTCAAATCTCACCGGCTCAAGGTTGACTCAGCCTTCCATCCTTCCGAGGTAGGTAAAATGAGGACCCAGATTGTTGGGGGCAATGTAAATATATATATACATTGCTTACTAGTGTACACCGCTTAGAGAGTGCTTGCACTTAAAGCGGTATATAAGTCTCATAAATAAATAAATAAATAAATTTAAATAACTAATGAAATGAATAAACAATTACTGGAAAAACTTTTTTCATTATTAACACTACTTACACTCTTCAAGGTTGAAATCATTAGGTGCCTTGGCTGACCATAATCTCATGGTATTAACTGTATTGTTCTTGTATCCTGGAACGGGTGTATCATAAGGCATGGCAAGAACAACCTAATATGGAGCAAGAGGTCAAATAAAGGTGGGCTAACACAGTGACATAAAAATGATAACAGCCTATAACTAAAGGGCACTGGAATTGATGTTCAAGTGTGTCTTGCCCATTTTGTTTAAAAAATGTGATTTACAATTCTAAACAGCCTAACTTAATATACAATAACATGAGAAAAATAAAAAATAATAATCATATTAAACAGCAAAATAGAACCTAGTACAATGATGGCAAACCTTTTAGAGACCGAGTGCCCAAACTGCAACCCAAAACCCACTTATTTATCGCTGAGTGCCAGTTGAGCGTGGCCCACTGGGTGGGCATGGCTGTGGTGGTCATGGCAGACTGGGTAGGTATGGCCACCTCGATGTTGCTCATGGGGAAGGACACCTGTGGGGGCAAGTCAGGAGGAGATCCAGGGGGGCTCTGGCAGGTGGGGCAGTGGGCAGAAGGCTTGTCCTGTGGGGTGAGGTGAGGCAAAGCATGGCAGGGTAGGGGTGCCATTGTCGCAGGGCAAGGCGAGGCAGGGGCTGGGGCACACAGAGGCCAGCGAGCACATGGGGGCTGACAGTATCCGTCAGCAGCCACAGCCGGCCGGCCCCTCGACCGGCACACTCTGGGGCTCTGCAGCCTGCTGCCAGCAGTTCAGAGAAGCTGCCTCTGAGCTGGACAGCCGGCCGACAGCGGAGGAAGCGATGCAGTGGGTCGTGCCCGAGAAAAGGAGAGCATGCGAGGCCAAGAGGAATGGGACGGGGGGAGGGAAACCATCTGTGCTAGGATGCATCCCACCACATGGGACCTCAGCGAGTTAGCAGGGGGCTGGTTGAAGAGGGATGGTTGCCACCTCCGGGGCATGGCGTGCGTGCCCATAGAGAGGGCTCTGAGTACCGCGTCTGGCATGCGTGCCATAGGTTCGCCACCACTGACCTAGTATCATCAAAATTAAAGCATTCCCAACAGAAAAAGCAGAGGAGAAAAGAAGATAATTCACGCCTCTCTTTAACCTGGCATTTAAGAAAGTTCAGAGCTGGAGCTCTGCAGGACTTGCTAGGAAAGCACTTGATAGAACAAAGAAGGATCTGATGTTCTTTAACCTTCAAAAGAACTTGGCGCTCAGTCACACGTTATTAAATGAAGCTTTCAGAGAAGACTGTTCTTTGAAGGGGCTGGAAGTGAACTTAATTATGTAATTCTCTCCACTCTTGGCAGTTTAGCAACCTTAACTTTCCTCTCTGAGTCTCCATTATCTCCTGAAGAATGTCTTTGTTAGCAGAACAAAAACACCACTAGGTTCATGCAATTCAGAGCTATTCCAAAGGGCCTTGTGTGATTCAGAGTAAGCTACAACAAAATCCCCAGATCCCTCCACCCCATTCTCTGTCCTCCTCTGCCCATTTTACTCTTTGGTTCATGGTGACCTAACCCTAACCCTAATTGGAATTTTCCTCCATTGCGATTTTCCCATGTATTTTACCAGGAAACATAGATAGGGCAGGCTAGAAAACTCAGTCCCGTCCTAACTATACCTAAGCACTCTGAATTTGTTGGCCCATTTTCCTCTAGCAGTTCATGGTGTCCTAACCCTAACCCTAATTGGAATTTTCCTCCAATGGGATTTTCCCATGTGTTTTAACAGGAAACATAGATACGGCAGGCAAGAACAGTCAGTGCCCTCCTAACCATACCCAAGCACTCTGAATTTGTTGGCGATATCCATTTTGCGCTAGGAGTTCATGGTGACCTAACCCTAACCCTAAGTGGAATTTTCTTCCAATGGGATTTCCCCGTGTAATTTACCAGAAAACATAGATAGGACAGGCTACCAAAGTAAGTGCCTTCCTTACTATACCCAAGCACTCTGAATTTGTTGGCGATGTCCATTTTGCTCTAGGAGTTCATTGTGACCTAACCCTAACCCTAAGTGCAATTTTCCTCCATTGGGATTTCCCCATGTATTTTACCAGGAAACATAGATAGGGCAGGCTAGAAAACTCAGTCCCGTCCTAACTCTACCTAAGCACTCTGAATTTGTTGGCCCATTTTCCTCTAGCAGTTCATGGTGTCCTAATCCTAACCCAAATTGGAATTTTCCTCCAATGGGATTTTCCCATGTGTTTTAACAGGAAACATAGATAGGGCAGGCAAGAACAGTCAGTGCCCTCCTAACCATACCTAAACACTTCTAATTTTTTCACGATGTCCAATTTACTCTTTGGTTCATGGTGACCTAACCCTAACCCTAATTGAAATTTTCTTCCAATGTGATTTCCCTGTGTATTTTACAAGGAAACATAGATAAGACAGGCTAGAAAAGTAAGTACCCTCCTAATTATACTCAAGCACTCTGAATTGGATGGCGATGTCCATTTTGCTCTATTAGTTCATGGTGACCTAACCCTAACCCTAAGTGGAATTTTCCTCTAAAGGGATTTTCGCATGTATTTTATCAGGAAAAATAAATAGGGCAGGCAAGAAACGTCAGTGCCCTCCTAACAAAAACCCAACTACTCAGAATTCGTTGGCAATGTCCATTTTGCTCTATTAGTTCATGGTGACCTAATCCTAACCCTAAGTGGAATTTTCCTCTAAAGGGATTTCCCAATGTATTTTATCAGGAAATATAGATAGGGCAGGCAATAACAGTCAGTGCCCTCCTAACCATACCTAAACACTCCAAATTTTTTGGCGAGTTCCATTTTGCTCTATGGTTTCATGGTGACCTAACCCTAACCCTAAGTGGAATTTTCCTCCAAAGGGATTTCCCCATGTATTTTACCAGGAAACATAGATAAGACAGGCTAGAAAAGTAAGTGCCCTCTTAACCATAGCCAGACACTCCAAATTTGTCGGCGATGTCCATTTTGCTCTAGGAGTTTATGGTGATTTAACCCTAACCCAAAGTGGAATTTTCCTACAATGGAAAAATAGATAGGGCACATTAGAAAAGTCTGTTCCCTCCTAACCATACCCAAGCAGTCCGAAATTATTGGTGATCCTCATTGTGCTAGATGTGTACATACTGACATAACCCTAATCCTATTTGGAATTTTCTTCCAATGGGATTTCCCCATGTATTTTACCAGGAAACATGCTAGAAAAGTAAGTGGCCTCCTAACCATACCCAGGCACTCCGAATTTGTTGGCGATGTCCATTTTTCTATAGGAGTTCATTGTGACCTAACCCTAACCCTAAGTGCAATTTTCCTACATTGGGATTTTCCCATGTATTTTAACAGGAAACATAGATAGGGCAGGCTAGAAACATCAGTGCCGTCCTAACTATACCTAAGCACTCTGAATTTGTTGGCAATGCCCATTATACTCTAGGAGTTCATGCTGTCCTAACCCTAACCCTAATTGGAATTTTCCTCCAATAGTATTTTCCCATTTGTTTTAACAGGAAACATAGATAGGGCAGGCAAGAACAGTCAGTGCCCTCCTAACCATACCTAAGCACTCTGAATTTGTTGGCGATGTCCATTTTGCTCTATGACTTCATGGTGACATATCCCTAACCCTAAGTGGAATTTTCCTCCAATGGGATTTTCGCATGTATTTTAACAGGAAACAAAGGAAGGGAATGTTATAAGTGTCAGTGCCCCACTAATCATACACAAGCACTCTAAATTTGTTGTTGATGCCCATTTTGCACTATGAGTTCATGGTGACATAACCCTAATTGGAATTTTCCTCCAATGGGATTTCCCAATGTATTTTACCAGGAAACATAGATAGGACAGGCAAGAACAGTCAGTGCCCTCCTAACCATACTTAAACACTCCAAATTTTTTGGCGAGTTCCATTTTGCTCTATGGTTTCATGGTGACCTAACCCTAACCCTAAGTGGAATTTTCTTCCAGTGGGATTTCCCCATGTATTTTACCAGAAAACATAGATAGGACAGGCTAGAAAAATCAGTGCCGTCCTAACTATACCTAAGCACTCTGAATTTGTTGGCAATGCCCATTATACTCTAGGAGTTCATGCTGTCCTAACCCTAACCCTAAGTGGAATTTTCTTCCAGTGGGATTTCCCCATGTATTTTACAAGGAAACATAGATAGGGAAGGCAAGAAAATTCAGTGCCCTCCTAACGATACCCAAGCACTCTGAATTTGTTGGCGATGTCCATTTTGCGCTAGGAGTTCAGCGTGACCTAACCCTAACCCTAAGTGGAATTTTCTTCCAATGGGATTTCCCCATGTAATTTACCAGAAAACATAGATAGGACAGGTTACCAAAGTAAGAGCCTTCCTTACTATGCCCAAGCACTCTGAATTTGTTGGCGATGTCCATTTTGCTCTAGGAGTTCATTGCGACCTAACCCTAATCCTAAGTGCAATTTTCCTCCATTGGGATTTTCCCACGTATTATAACAGGAAACATAGATAGGGCAAGATAGAAAAATCAGGGCCGTCCTAACTATACCTAAGCACTCTGAATGTGTTGGCAATGCTCATTTTCCTCTCGGAGTTCATGGTGTCCTAACCCTAACCCTAATTGAAATTTTCCTCCAATGGGATTTCCCCATGTATTTTACAAGGAAACATAGATAAGGAAGGCAAGAAAATTCAGTGCCCTCCTAACGATACCCAAGCATTCTGAATTTGTTGGCGATGTCCGTCTTGCTCTAGGAGTTCATGGTGACATAACCCTAACCCTAAGTGGAATTTTCCTCCAATGGGATTTTCGCATGTATTTTAACAGGAAACAAAGGAAGGGCATGGGTGCCCTACGAATCATAGCCAAGCACTCCGAATTTGTTGGTGATGCCCATTTTGCAGTATGAGTTCATAGTGACATAACCCTAATTGGAATTTTCCTCCAATGGGATTTCCCAATGTATTTTACCAGGAAACATAGACAGGATAGGCAAGAACAGTCAGTGCCCTCCTAACCATACCTAAACACAACAAATTTTTTGGCGAGTTCCATTTTGCTCTATGGTTTCATGGTGACCTAACCCTAACCCTAAGTGGAATTTTCCTCCAAAGGGATTTCCC